TATATGCTATCCGAGCATATAATAAGGACAATGCAGAAGACAAGAAAAGAATCGCTACTATCCAACACACTTTAGATTACCTTCGACACGCTCGTACCACCCAGGATGAAAACATTCTATTCGTAATTGAAGCGTTTGACAATGACAGAACATTCTACACAGTCTCGGAAAGCCCTATTTTGACGCTGTCTCAGATAACAGATTGGGCCCAAACGGAGAAGAAGGCTATGGATGGTCAGAAACTCAACATTTTCACCCACATGGACGTCTGTTGCACTATGATACAGGTATGCTCACAAAAATGTCCCTCACGAGACTTCTTGCATTAACTATACTCAGCTTTCCCGTGGTCTTATCTTTCTAGCACTGAAAAAGCTATACTACGACGACCTAAATGACACTAACATATTCCTTGATTATTCTGGCGTTATCAAGATAGGTAAGTTGGACGAACGAAATACGATACTTAGTAGTACTTACGCGAATTGATAGGTGGCTTTGACAACATGCGGCCTCTGCCAGGAACTCAAAAAATGAAAGAGTGTAAAGATATCAGGAATGCCACTAACGCTGAAGAAGCAACAAAGCAAGCCAAAGCTTCCTGTATAGAATCTTTACAGGGTCTTCCAAATGCATTTGTCAATATCATTGTCAACTTTGAAATACCGACAATCGAAAAAGAGCTGCGCGACGTGGGAAGGAAAGTCAACGCCAGCGACTGGCGATTCCCCGTGGATGATTCCAGTGCCCTAGGGCTGAGCCTTATGTCACTGATCTCTGACTTACGTAAGGTATATTAAGATATACATGTGATACTCTGATCGTCTGTTAACCCGATCTATCGCTAGCCGTTTACTGTTCGGGACACGCTCCCACCGAAATATTTGCATGCCCGGGTTAGACCACTCATCCGCTCGGTATTTTTCCCGGCGGAGGGGTAAAAATAAATAGGACGGGTGCAATAGTTTTTAGGTTCAGGGCACAGTGCACTGGACTCATTTGAACACAGGACCAATCTAAATATACCTACCCCTTAGGTACTTGTTTTCCTTACTAGGGAGCGTCTGGCAATTTCATTACCAAGAGACGTATCGACACGGTACTATACGGAGCTTAATCTTAGAGTGCCTTACGGGGTGTGCCGCATCGCCCACCCCTAGCAAGTTTTCACTTTTCCCTGTCACACCCATATCCATCTTACGACCGAGTATAAGGGCCTAGCAGCAACTGTACCCGCCCTAAATGAACAGTCTAGAAAGTCTAAAAATTATTCCGCCATATCAAAATCCAGCGGTAGTCCAAGCCCCACGTTACGCAATCGTGAGGTACGATTTTCCAAAACGGAGCGAGCCGTAGAGCAACAATAGCTCCCTCCGCAGGGAGAAAAGTCCTTGGTGGAGTATGGTATACGGTCATTGAAGAATGGTGAATCCCCCACTTTCAAATTCTTACGTTCTCACGGTAAGAGTCTTACGGAACAAGCAGAAAGCAAGACAAAGACAACTAGGTGGGTCACCCGATACTTTCTCTTCGCAAGAAGCTTTCAAAAATAATGCCATTTTCCGCTATTAAAATTCAAATCTGGATAATTGTTCCGCTACGTTTTCTAAAAAGCGCTTTAGAAGGGTTGGAAACCAATCCCCCTCTCCCCCTCTCACTCCCCAACGCTAGCCCTGATATATCTGACGCTGTAATTATATTTCACTGAGCATCACGCATCATTGGGTTAAAAGGCATGGTTTTCTAAGACCGATGCACTGAGGTCTTATAATCACCTAATAGTTTTATCTTCTGTCTACTTATCGCCGGTAAAGATTCTTGCGCGTTAGGACACAACTTCCTAGTCTAATCGGCCTAAGAAACGTAACAGAGCTCTTTGAATAGGTGATTTAATGCAATTTATTCTAGTTCTTTACTCTTAAGACGTAATTTTCGAAAATTCGACGCTACATAGGCCGATTCCTCTATATCCACAGTCTTTAACAAATAGGACTTCGAGAGATTAAAGGTGAGGAGTGAATACCTAGGAATTGATACAATTCGACTCAATAATGCTCCTAATGCGAAATAAAATACAATTACAGCGCCAGGCCTAGTCAGGGCTAGTGGTCTTTTTGTTAAAAGCTGGGGTCCTTTTAATGTGACCCTCTAAAAATATATATCCGAATATACAACTGAAGCTTGACTCTATTTACGATGCTCGCTTTCTAATATATTACCGAGATGCCCTTGCATTGTTTCGATTGCAACAAGTTTAGAATATGGCACCTATTCCCCCACCTACGTTCAGAGACTTACCATTTGGCAATAAGGGAAGACCAAAACTGAAGCTTTATATCCCATCTAAACCATCTAAACCGCCTGTACCTGTACAAGTTGTAAGTTGCTCCTGAGGTGATATATGTTCACTGTTAAGTGTCCGTAGCAGGGAACCGGACATCAACCCAGGATGGAAATTGGAAGTCAAGATTCACTAAGATAAACAACGGATGTGTGCGTTCATTTTGCGGTTTGCTGGAATAGTGGCAACGTTAGAGGTTTGCTAGTGTACATGTGATGGCTTGATCTGTGTGAATAGGTGGTTTTCCTGGTCTACTTCTGTATTAAACCACACCTTCATTTAACAATGCGAAAATAGATAATCTATCTAGGTGCTTCCCGCTCAATTAAGGAGAATTGGAGATTAATTGATTGGAGCGTAGAGGCTGGATGCTAAAATGTCAGAATAGTTTGGCTTGGCACAAAACAGTACGCTGGGATAATCAAGTGATAAGGCTGGTCGGTCGATAGTACGCCATGGAAAGGCTTTGTGGATACGCGAGCTGAATTCTAGAGCTACGGATTGTGGTAGTGCAAAGTACAGGTCTGGTTATACGTGACACGGGAAGTTAACCCGTTTAAAAGAAACAGCAACAGCAGGGCCTTCGGTAAACGGAGTGAATGTACGCTTGCCGCACAAAATGAATTATTCAAAGAAAACCTTTAGTCAATCCCGGAATGTTCCTTTTTGTATGCTGGCTAAATTAATGCTTGCGCCGGCTGACTTTCTAACTCTGATCCACAAATATATATTCCGGATCGTCGGTTCTCCATCCAGTAGCCTACTAACAAACTGTCTGCGTGCTTCCACGCTCAGATACTGATTAAGGTTATCGATCCTACCACATTGTTTGATTTCTTTAGGGGGAAAGGAAGTCGGTAGAAGGTCGCGAGTCACAAGTCAAACTGGCACTGTATATATAATGCTTCTGGCATCTGGTGAGAAGGATAGGATTCTATTGTAGTTAAACCATTCGCTCGTTCACCTTCAATAGTGAATGTTCTGCATTGCTTTCCAAAATACCGACATAGTACTCGCACCACTCTATTATTTGGCGCGTAGTGCAGATCAGAGTGTACTTTTTCTGCGCTTCCGTTTGAGTATCGTATTGTGACTTATTCTCTGGTTCGGCTGAGAGCCAATTTACAATGAGTGGCTGGATCAGGCGTACAATATGTTCGTCGTAGGTAGCCCCTGACAGGGCTAGGCTGCTGGTACTTTGGACTAGACTTCGATATGGCAAGACTTCAGATGATACACCTGCCTCCTCAATCTCCTCAATCTCGGTAGGACGTATTGGTTCACTACATACAATTCTTTTAGAATCGCCAGCCATCTCATCGGTTGCTTTACGCTTTTCCCCTTGAAAGTGGCCCATGCTACCGGCGTTACAGAGAAAACAATTTGGTCAACCGATAGTCTTCAACAGGAAACGCTGATCTTATACGCTCGGGAAATTGTATCAGAAATGTCCTATTTGAAGTCCATCTATAAATAGTACTACATATTAACGGTGACGCTTATTATAGTCCTATCCTTCGCATTTTATTGGGAACCAAAATTTCCCACGAGACTAGACTGCGGATGAACAGTGCTCCAAAACACGGATGTAATTGAGTATGACGCGTACGGTACGTCGCGTAAAGTTCTCTTCCGAACACGATCTGCAACAAACATTACCAGTTACCTTTGGAGATACAAGGGAGGCATATTCCTATATGTTATTCTATTGTCACTGTTGCTTTCCATGGAATAGTAACTAATACTAGTAGAATCTGATTTTGAGAAAAGATTTTGTGCCCAACGTGCTTAGACAGCGGAATGTAGGGCCTTTGGTTTCAGGATACGGTTGCGGTGTAGGGCTTCAATCTAGTCACGGTCAAGCTTGTTGTCTATATTTGAGGCTAAAAGCTAAATTTCTGTCAAAGTGGCAGGCCTCTGTAAATAAACACCCCAAAACACTACGTACCGAGGATGCTAGACAGGAAAGAATCAATAAATGATATTGGGCGCAAGGCCCTAGCGGTCGAGCTAATAATCTATATGCGTGCGCCAAACCGACAGCACGACTTGAGTTTGATATATCACCATAATGTCAAATTTGTAGAGCTCTGCATCTCAGACTACGTTTGAATATACAGTGGCGCCCGACATCGCCTTCCATGTCGGGATCGCGAGATAATCTCTCAAAACATAGAACGAAGACGACAGAATTATGTAGAGCATATCATCCTCAGAATCCCCGGCTCTTCCAAGCTGGGATTCATCTCAATCAAGATTCTGGCTATCTCTCGGTAATACGCTGATTTCGACTCGCGTTAGACCACAGACCATATTTCATCGAACATGTATGTGTACCCGGAGCAGGCATCCGCTGCTAGTGGACCATCGAATTTGACAGGTTCAGTACTCGACGCCATGAATGGTTTTTGTTTTCTTTCTTCCGTGCGGGAAACAGTATTTTATCCAGTGGGAGTGGAACTCATTTTTAGCTGATTTGTCATTATAGTCAAAGCCCGCCGACCGAATAGGCCCAAAACGGATTGTTTTATCTTAGGGCCAATCCTAATGTGGAACAAAAATCTTGAACATAGGTGCATAGTAGAAAGTAAATAATATTCAGGTTTTGACATCATATCAGTACTCATTCTGATCCCTAATTGTGAAGGTCTCAAGTTTTCTATACAGTCGGCACTTCGTAGCCACTATGACAGTATTTGCCGAATAGTACCAGCTTACTGCGCCATTTAGACCACGTGACTTTGGAGGAGAACAGGTTGTAGTTAATGTAGCGGAGAAATGCAATCTCGATACTGTGAATCTGGTGCTTGGGGATGCCAGACACTTCCGACCATGCCCCATTGCTGTAGGGCACGTCATCAAGAACTACCGGTACATCAGCATCTTCAACACCAGTGGGGATTTGCGTGCAGGTCGACAGGCTGCCTAGTGTGGTACTAGTAAAACTCACATTTATTGCCAAGCATCAACGCAACGGTCATCAACATGAATTCGCTTCCCCTCTTACCCCCGATCCTCGAGTTAGACCTCTTGAGTCTGTAAATAAGCTCCAAGGCTAGGAAAACGACGTTTACGCTAACTTGTGTGGCCGACAAAATGGTGACCACCCATTCCTGAAACCAAGGACTAGGGATCGGCTTACCAATCCGGCAACGCACAGGACGTTGACCATCCTCGATGGCTTGCAACGTTGAGGTCTCTTCAAACCAGAGCAGGCAGGCGACCTACTTTATTAGTTCAATTTGGCTTTACCAACATGGATTCGGAACACTTACTTGAGCTACAAACCTGGGGAGTGGCTCCTTCTCTTTCTCGCCTTTGGCCGCAGAAGGGGAGCACTGGGATTCTAATTCTTTGTCGATCGACTTTTGTTTAACACTTTTGCGATTTTGCACTCTTTTAGTGGATGTCGTTGGCGACACAGACTTGTGGTGGTGTCGTTTTCGGCGGACAGCAGGCATCTTTTTTTGGCTTCCGAGCTATGATGGTGCTAGGTGTTATAGCCTTAGGATTATTGCTAGAAGATATAGAAATACTCCGACCAGTCTCGAAGCTGGGGAATCTGGTGGCTTTTCTTGAGTCGGAGGCCTGGCAGCACCATAGAGACCCCGTAGGGAATGGGAAATAAAGGAGAGGAAGGGAGAGAGCGATGGAGATAGTGTTTTATAGCATTTCTTTCCGAGAAGTATCAAAGCGAATAAACCTATTTCCATAATTTCGGGTATGAATGACTTTCTCCCTTCAAAATTGGGGCCACTACTGAAGACGGAAAATGGTAGACCTATGTTGACTTCCCTTCTCTAGATTCGATGGTTGTCGTGCGGAAGGCTACTGTAAGCCTTAACATCAACTGCTTAATTGGAATTATTGCTTAGGAAGTCGGCTGGCGTTATCCTCATGTGAACTTGTTGCTAGGAAATAAGGAGAACCGACGAGAACAGGATTCTATAATTAAACCCCTGTCCCTTCCTGCCCCACATGGTCATGCTGGTCGTGAGAATTCTAGTATTTTCGCGTTCTTTCGGTATGAGGGTATACCTTCGATCCCCGATTTCTGTTTCCTTCGGTAATTATTTCTCGGTTACAGCCGTTCCAATAGTTTGATATTCCTTTCAGCAAATCACCTAGGTTGTCAAGCAAACCAGACTAATCATGCAGCTCCTCCTCAGTGCGTCTTCAGGAAGTGGACCACTACATGGAAATACATGGTGCAGACTCCCATCATGCCATCCCATTTCAATGGATATATAGTTGCTGTAGCCTGCATCTATTTCGCGAAGTTGATTTCCCAACTAGACTAACATACGAATCCGCACTCAGCCTAGTGGGTTATGTATGGTTTAGAATCCAACTCGCGAGGGGTTAGGGTAAACCTACAACTACTATGCTCTACGCAATGCCAGTTTCAATTCGGCAAGTCCATTCTGTTCGTAAGTGTATTAGCTAATTTCCGTAATGATGTCTTATTCATAGACAATCAGGCAGTGTTCGCCTTCTCTTTCAGACCTCTTTTCTCGTAGCTCGTAATATAAGAGCTCCCTCTTAGATAGATGGATCCATGATCCTTAGAGATCCTTCTTCCTCTCTCTATCACATATGCGTACATGTCTCGGTAAGAGGTCGGTTCGGAAAGTGTGAGGCCAAGCTCTTTATCCGGGCACCGATCATCAAATACCGACAATCGCTTCCTATCCATTGCTGATGAGCTCCCCAGCTCCCTCGACTTCGACGCTGTCACAACCCAGGCACGCAATCTCATTTTTAGGACGCTCTGTTCATCGACTCAGACAATCGTACAGTTTTTGTATCGTGTGAACAGTCTATATAAACTGTGGAGTACCCGAATGTCATCGTCTGCCAAAGTCTACCGAGCGAAGAATCGTACTCTGCCCAGATTATGTTGTCACATTTCACGTGGTCGCGGTAGGCGGAAGTTAGACCAACGTGCCCGCTGGATCAAAATTAGTTACTAAGGCCTGACACAAAAACCGGGTACTTGATGCTTAACTCAAATAAGCCCATACCTCTGGAGTAGCTGAAACAATGGCAAGAATATCATGTGCAATCCAATTACAGAAGATCTAGACAGCGGAACTTTGAGATATAAACATATATTGACAGCGCTTTCAAAGCTTGGCAGCTGCGACTTCTAATTTGGGCTCTACTATAAGGGAGCTGAGGAAAGCAGTACCGAAGTAGCCTAGCTCATCAGCTATTACCGGCGCAGGTAGAGATAAAGCAGGTCACTACAGTCTAACTATAGACGCTGAGCTTGACAATCATTTCTGCAATAGGGCATCATGTGATTCAAGTTTAACACCCTCTATACAAACATGGAAGGCGGCCGGTCCTACTGCGCAAGCCAGTACATGTATAACCCATATACCCACCAATGGAAAATCCCGATCCCCCTAGAATCCGATCCCTGAAATATGCTGGCACCAAAGGGGACCGGTGACTGCGTCAGATGAGGTCTCCTACCTAGTATCTTGACCCAAGACGACGAGATAGTAAAGAAGGTGGTGCACATTACCGGACAAAGAAACTAAGAGTCTAACACACGCATGTACAGGTGCATGGCGAGCTTGAATCCAAGGGAACCATGGTAATCGAACTGCTTGTGCTCGCTGGAGTTATCGCTGGGGAGATCCTACTGAGGACGTGCTTGACCCGGAAGTGGCCAATGCTTCAGATGACGCTACTGTAGGGGTGGCTGTAATAGAATCCATCGTGGCGCACGAGTCTACTTGGCATACCGGCTCGGAGACAGTCCCTGGGGTTGAAGACTGAGTCGTAGGAAGATCAGCCATGCTCACCGAATCAACTTGTGAGCTCGTTTGACTAGCCATAGAGGTCGCTGTTTGCAAGGTTGGTTAGCACCAACTTGGGAGTTAAGGAGAACACGTGATGTAAAGACGTACTTGAAGAAGAGGCCGGCTCGATGGATGAATTGCCAGATTCTGTAGCACAGTAGGCACTTATAGCGTTTTGGTTAGAGGGAGATTCCAAATCCCTTCGAGACGATAGGCTAGGATTTTGAATATTAATAGGGTATGGGGAGTCATTTAGACTTAGCACGCGAGGTCCAGATGGTAGATCCCAGCTATACGTAACCCTAATAGTAAGCCGTTGATTTGAAGCGCAACGAGGAACCTCCACATCACCGAGGTCAACACGATCGAAATTTGTGGAGGCCTGGAGGGTGGCGTTATAGACACCGGGATCTAGCGGAGGTTCTAGGTTGAATTCGAGAGAGCCATCAGATCCGGACGGAATCGTGTCACTCTGCTCCGCGGTAGGACTCGCGTATGCAATACTAGCCAGACTGCCAAGGCTGACAAGGCTTCCCCAGGCCACATGTCTATAGTACCGCATAATAGTGATTTGCTGAGTACGATATATGGTTCAGATACCCAAGGATTGGGAAGGCAGTGCTATAAAACTAGCAGGTCATTCGGCGCGTCCGGGTTTAGAACGTCCTATTTATAGCATACTGCCGATCAAAACTGGTTCGTTGGAAACTGGTCGGTTACAGGGAGGATCGAAATCAATTTCACCGTTTACTCACAAAGGTTCTTTTCGAACTCTCCTTTGAAACAAGCTATCTATTGCGGGTACTCTGTCCCCGAATCCTTTCTTGTCCAGCACAGCCGTAAATAACGGCCTAAAATAGATTGTGTATTAGTCAAGTAAGGTCTAGGCGTTCTAGGACTTTGACCCAGCAAACAAAGGATGCCTGCTGGTTTGGAGACGTGGCTAGACTTTTTGTTATGGACTAATGTGTTTCGAAATAGGGTTCGAGAAAGAATCTGTGTAACGTACTAATTTTGATCCGTCCTGTATGGGCTTAGGATGCGAATCTTATGCCCAAAGCCGCTCGATCGTGCAAAATTAGGACTGCTGCTATGAGCATTCTAAAGTACATAGGGAAAAGTAGAAAATAGCTCTCATATGAACGCTATTTAATATTGAATCCTACAATGCCAAGGCATCTTACGCCAAACCATCAAAATAATTGCTATGGAACGACTGAGCTTCCTCCCGTGGCTGCGGGCCTTCGACCATGAGCCGGATAGTGAATGCATTGATATATACGGCCCTTTTGACCGAGTCCACGCTCCACAGTCAAGGCGCCAATGTCAACCTCGCGTGCTGACCATCTCCGGGTCTGCTCTAAAGGGTGACTTTAACGGTATGAACACGTGTATGGTGAATCACTTAGGCCATTCGACAGTCTGTAATCACATCAAGTTTAGCCCACAGTCGGCTCTTGCTGGGAATCCTTCGCTTAAAAGACACATCCCGCTTGAAATCGTACCCGCAAAGGATGTAATCCGGCACCTGTGTCTTTCCTTTAGCGATAGTCTCTGTATATATAGCTTGAATATCGAGGAAGCGGCGCGCGAGCTCATGCTATGGATCTTAGGGCAGCTAGAGTCCCCACTGGAAGAGTGGCCGCCGGTGATATTCCTGGTGCAGACTTTACCCCCAGAGGCCGATGCGGAACAGGACCTGAAGGACCACTGCAGTCGTCTGATAGACGAGATAGACGAAGATACGCTGCCACCGGGGTGTTTGGATAAGGCGTTCAAAAATTGTGCCGTTTTCCGACACGGCTGCACGGAGTCCAGCATAAGTGATGTCGTGGAATTGTGCTTACAGGCGAGCGCTGAAAGGCTACAGCAAGGATGGGACAGGCGAAAGAGGCTTCGGAATCTTTGGACACTCACTATATATGTCGAGATGACAGAATTATTTTGCTCAATGAGCACACAACGCTTACCACCCTTGCTGGACTTGGTCGTCAAGCTTCGAGAGCAGTCCTGGCCTGGTACTCAGATGCACTCGCTCTGTTCGCTCCCGGAATGGTTTTCGTATGTCAATGAGGAAAGAACCCCCCAAAGATTTTTGGCCCCTGTATTGGCGGGGTTATTTCTCCGGGATTCTGAGAGTCTATCACATAGTAAGTCGGGCGAATTCGTTCAGGTTGCCGGGTTAACATTCTCTCTACGCGATTAGGCTTTTCAGGACGGGACCTCTTTCACAGTGTGTATGCCCCTCTATGCAGGGAGGCGCTTGCAACGGCCACAGAATCATCGCCGGTATCTAAGATCTCGATGAGCGAGCTGACAAACTTAGTAGTGTGGCACATGGAGCACTGGTCATCTTGGAGCGAGTTGGCCGTGAACTCTATGATGAAATCCGTTCCCTTTACGGGTGTATGCGGATTATGCCTTTGGCATCACCCATCCCTTATTATCTTTCAGTGCGGCCATAGAATCTGCGAAAAGGATGCATGGGCGTGCTCGGTTCGAGACCTTCCGTTCAACACACTCTCTCACATTGAGCATTGTCCCGTGTGCCTGGCGCCGTCAGGGATGAGAGTGCGTTTCCGTCCACTTCAATGTGGCTTTCGAATCGTGACAATCGACGGCGGAGGCGTACACGGAATTAGCCCGCTGGTGATGTGGAAGTACATACTGCTAGGGCTGCCGTTCGGCTTACGGCTATCTGATTATGTCGACCTGAAAGTGGCGACCAGTAGCGGTTCGTACTACCCTTGTCTAACCCATGTGTATATTAAGTTTGACGTAACCCTAGGTTCGATCGTTGGAGCGGGGCTAGTAATTCAGGAGATGGAGCCTGATGAGTGTATTGACATGTTTACTAATACTGCAGGCAAAGTATTCCAAGATAATGCCGCCTGCACATTCCTGTTTTCCGTTACTTTCTATCGAAAGATCCTTCGCCAGTGGCTATATGGCGCTAAATATAGTAGAGATTGCCTTTTAAGTGCTCTGCAAGGCATCTTTGGATGTGAACAACTACTAAAGGCCGCCGCCGACCCTAAGTCTGTGAACAATGTTCGAGTGGCATTTACCATGACCGACTTTAGGACCAAGCTGTACCTATTACGCAACTACGACGATGTTACCGTGGGCGCTCATGGTGATGCTATTTACAACGACGACGGAAATCGCAAGGTCGTGGACGCGTGAGTCTTTGTCTCGTGTACCAGAAAACGGTTTCCATACTAACGCAGACCGTAGGTTGGTCGATGCCTGTGCGGCACCGACTTTGTTCAAGCCGAACAATAATCGTCAAGACGGTGCATTTGCAGCAAACAACCCAAGCGGGGTCGCCTTGGCCGAGCTCAATCGTTTATCCTTGAGCTCTCGAAGAATGCTGGACTTCTCGATCAGCTTTGGAACTGGTCGATTTGTTCGAGAGGACCTACAGCCCTACCCTAGCTGCTTCCCGTGGTTATGTCCGCAGTGGATCCCTCGACTAGGGCGGAGTGTGCTTGAAAGTTTCTCTGCGAGCCGAAACTACCAGCGGCTACAAGAGCAGCTAACCGTCCAAGAAAGATCCAAACATCATAGACTCGATCCTTTATTCGTGGGGCGCCCAATTCCGTTGGATGCTGGAAAGGCAGTGAAAGAGATTAAACGCCTAACAGAAGAATTCATAAAACACGGACTAGACGACCAAGTAGTTCAGGATGTACGGTTGGCTCTAGTCGCGACAGGCTTTTACGCAGTTGCTAGATCATCCCCGACATTCGATGGACTGAAGGGTGTATACTCTCTGAATATCGCCATCGTTTCTCGTTGGAATGACGATGCGGAAGCATCTTTCAAACTTCGAAACTATCTCAGATATGCACGATTCTTTGTGCAGGGTAGGTCTTTTCCTTTCTCCGACCCACTGATGGTAACAGTCACTGCGAGGACACTCGACGCAATCATGGACGCTCAGCTCCAGCCGAGCAATAGTAAATCTCACAATATCAGTGGGTTCCCTATCTCCATTGCAGATTTTATCTTTCTCCAAAGAACAATCCCGCTATGCGACAGAAAGCAGACTCGGAAACGTAAATTTTCGTGCAAAGTATCGTGCAGTGTATTCAAGCGAAGGAAGTTAAACTCCTCCATAATCCCACCATCTCTAGAAAGATATCTACCGCAGCCTCTTGGTTCCATCGGCTCAAATGTCACGTGCCCGTACAATTCCCCTACCGCCTTTTCTACCGCCTTTACTCATTACCCTTATAGTACGAATCCTATTTGGGCCCATTTCTTTAAAAGAATTATCCAATTTTTATTATTTAGACGTTTTCTTGCTTACTATAGGCTGTCTATTATTTAATGCAGCGATGGTGTATTTAGTAAGGAAACTAATCCTTTTTCTATTCTTATTATTCTTCTTATTATTATTCTTATTAGTATTCTTATTAGTATTCTTATTAGTATTCTTATTATTATTCTTATTATTATTCTTATTATTATTCTTTTAAGTCTAGTTTATTTTTGAATATTTTCGAGATAAATATTTACCCTTATTAATTGTCATTTTTATGTCTCCACTCCTATGAGGTGTAACATCCAAGCTTCGCCGTAAAGTCCTGAAGGTTATGAATATGGAAGTACCGCTTGTAGTGGATTAAGATATTGGACCCACGGACCCAATTGTGGTGCCTAAGCGACATATGCTATTGCAGTGAAACGCTCAGGTATACCTAGGTACACAGAGATTATCAAAATAAAGAAACTCATGAGTAATGATGAGCTTAAATGAATGTGAAAAGCGGGGACGAATGTCAAAGCCATATTCCTCAAACATACTAATCGTTCCGGCCATCGAGTGCTACATTCCCTAGGATCTATAGTTAGACCTGCTACTTCTAACAGGGTCATATTTAGCTTCGGCAGCGATATTACGCATTTTCGTATATAATATACCACGTGAAAGCGTAGGACTAATTTTTAAAATCTCCAAAACAGTGTAGCAAAGCGAAAGAATGAAAGTTTGTCGCCTCATCGCCTTTATCTGTGCCTTAAGGCACGCCCTTGGCGACACGGCCAAGTCCTCGTCCAATGCCCAGGTTGTCACGTACTGGGGACAGACAGCAGGCCAGAAGAGTCTACAAAGTTATTGCGCGGATGACGCCGGTGTTGACATTATCCTCCTTGCGTTTTTAAATACGTTTGGCCAGAATATGGATACACCATCGGGAAAAATCGGCTCATCCTGCCAAATTACTTCAGGAAATCCACAAGGCTGTGAAGAGGTAGCTGCTGGTATTGACTATTGTCGGTCGAAGGGCGTCAAAGTGATTTTGTCGCTCGGTGGTGCATTGGGGGATTACGGACTAAGTTCACGGGAGGAAGCAGAAACTATCGGTCAGAATCTATGGGATGCATTTGGAGGGGTAAAGCAAAGCCGCATTCCTCGCCCCTTTGGCGAGAGTTTTGTAGATGGATGGGATTTCGATATTGAACTTTACGAGGGGACCGAATATTATCGCTACCTCATCGCCAAGCTACGCTCCAATTTCGCAACCGATCCATGCCATACATACTACATCACAGGTGCCCCTCAATGCCCTATACCCGAGCCCTACATGCAGAAGATGATTACCAGCGCCGATTTTGACTATCTGTGGGTCCAGTTCTACAACAATCCTAGCTGCTCCCTTAACACCCAGATCAACTATGATGAATGGGTCACAAACATTGCCAACACGCCTTCTACTAATGCCAAGGTCTTCATCGGCGTCCCGGCCTCGCCCTTGGCAGCTACAGGCACCGAATCTGGCTCGCGATATTATCTTGATCCAAGTGCGCTAGCCACACTGGTACGGCAACACGCGACCAATCCAGCATTCGGGGGGTTATGGCGTGGTCGGCTGGGTATTCCGACAGTAACGTTCAGAATAGTTGCACTTACATTCAGAATATTCGCAAGATAATTAGTTCCGGGAGCCCTTGTTAAGTCTGGTACCTCGCCAACTGAACAGCAGTCCGTGCCCGAAGAAATTTATTTTCAACCTCATTGCCTCTACTTGTGCCCAGATTCCACCAACTAAATAACTGTTTTGCCGTATCTTATTTTAGTCTGGCCGCCGGGCAATCTAACATGATCGTGACAGTGACAGAAGAGAATGTAATGCCATTCGGAAACAAACTAGAATACAAGAAATCAATACCAAGATTGAAGCGCAATATTAAGCCCCAATTCTGTAAAATAAGAATTAAACGCACACAAATTCTGTTGCTTGGTAATCCATCGAATATTTTGATTAAATATGCTTAGGCGATTTTCAACACGAGGCAGCAACAGCAGATACACACTTCAAAGAAAAAGATAGATTTACCCTTAGTTAAAGTGAAAACTCATGACTTGGGCGTGAAACCCACCTAAGCTAGGATAGTCGCAGACTAACCTGTTTCTAAATCGTTAATGCCGTGTTGAACGGTCAGAAGAGTTCTGCTGCAGAGCTCTAGTATTGATGGGACAGCTAGCCGGTTCGGACACGCATAGCGTACTAGGTTTGTGGTTGAAGGTGACTTAGATCGGTGTCAGAAGTATGCAGAGAATGGACTCATTTTTGATGAAAAACAAGAGGATCATACTAGTGGAATTTTCTCACTATACTTTCCTGACAAGCGGAAATTACGCGACCTGCAACGCTCTCGATGAGATTTGTAAGGAACGGCGGCAGCTTTCCCTTCTCTTCTTGACCAAAGGGCGGCGTGTTACTAGACAAGCGCTGATATTTTGCACGACGACATTCCCTACATTCCCTAATGAGTCTATGAGAAACTACTTTCGGGCGGTGACGCCACGTATCATAGAGCCTTCTGTGCGGTGGACGATTCCGCGCGATCGGATATTTATACAGCCGACTAGTCCTTCGCTTCTGAATAAACATTGCTGGAGATGTTGCTCCCGCTTCACCTTGCTGGAATATATATATATTTCTAGTTACGAGAGGAAAATGTCCCATTGCCTAATTTAGAAAAACAATAAGCGTAACCGAAAAGTTCATGGGAATGATAAAAATTGGGAAACTTATTAAGAAGGTAGCATACATAAGCTTGAAATAGATCTGCTGGAAGTGGACCGACCGGCTTGGAAATCGCGAACTAAGGCAGAACAACATCACGTGATCTTTTGACATTCTCGGTGAGGAAATTACGTAGCTGCTAGTTACTTAGTTAACTAACTAGGTTGGCAATTTAAACTGGGTAATTACATAATATTAGACTTGGTAGGAATGACCGAGTCCCAATGCATCCATGCATCCACACGAGACCACAACCCTGCCAAGTGCCTGGGATCACATCGGCGCCGAAACAGCTTTAGTCGAAATGTCGCTGGACCCTTGCTATTCAGAATACGGTGACATGATATATGGAAGCAAATCTTACAGCTTTTTGTGGGACGAACATTGATCTGGTAGTAGCAGAAAACCACAACGACCTCCTATGTGGGGTGGGACAGACAGTGGGGACTCTGAGCTCCATAAAGGAGTGGATGCGATACCTCGCAGAGTAGCTACAGATTATAAAGAAGCAGCTTCATCAGCTTTATTATCCCGCGATTGGATATCTGACGACTTCTCCCTCCTAGATCGTGGTTTACCCCCTCGTCTTTTGATCACACGGAACTCCAGTCAACACCATTTCACCTACGAACCCGAACAAGCGAGATGGCTACCGTATTCCCTATTTCGGAGCCCAAGGCGGCATCAGAGCATACACACCTAAATGAAGGACCTCCAAGGATCAAAAGTAACCGAATCAGCATACCAAGACCTCTTACCTCAAAGCAACGTGATACTGGAAACCCCTTGATCGGTAATAGACAGCTGCATGATCACAGGCCACCAGTTGTTACAATTACCATTGAACCGATGGACAGATCGGGCGAGCAGCTTATGTGTGTTATGGACGTGTTTGATTCATCCGCCAAACGGAATTCCACGTTCCGTCATCTAGTAACATTGAATGGTCCCTAGAAGCTACTGTCAAGGTGTGTATATCCAAATATTACTATGTATTGTATCTTACTGAAATCAATAGAGTGAGCTGAAGGTAGGACCAGGAGCGAATCTCTTATAAACTCATGACATTTATTGGAGCAAAAGCGTGACCCTGGATGGTTCTTAGAGTACGAAGATTTTGTTGAATTGGAAATTTAAACATCCCTGTAGCCATGTCGATCAAAGTCCTAAGCCTTGAATCAAGCAGGATTCAACTATATGCACTAAATTCAAATACGGGTAAAGCGCCGACGCAAAGTTAGAACGTCAAGGTCCATCACCCAGGCTGTACTAGGAACATTGTTTAAAAATGAGCGGAACCACGTAAGCATGATCATTCAATGAAAGAAAAGGTATACGAGAAATAAACAAACAAGCGAATGCAGAGACACTCGGAATTAGCTTCATCTCGGTGCTCTCTTTCATTCGTCGAGCTCTGCTCTGCATCACGCTATACTGGCCCACGTCGTTGGAAGTACTTCAGTACCTTAATAAAGTACAGAAACGGTTATCGTATCATGGTTTATGAGCCATGCTCTGCCTAACAGTCGCCTGCAAACGAACAAACGATGCGTACAATGCAAGGCGCGTATCAAAAGGCTGCAAGATACTTTATGCACTTAACGCTTCATTTTGCACCGTAGGACACTACCACTCTTTTAACCCGTAAAGGTTTCTAGACGATTCTTTACTTCGGACACACGTTTGGCACTTTGCTTGTAAAGCCAACATCGGGTCTCAGCGGCCACAATTTTCACTGCCTCCAAGTAAGGGAGTGTCAAGATATGAGTCGAGCATTTCCTTCACGAAATCTGGCACCTAAGCAGCGATTGAATCGTACTTTGCGCGGATAGAGTCTTTCTTAGATGGAACCGGAGATTGTCTCTCGAAAGACGAACGGCGAGCTCTTGAAGCCCCTTGTTCTGGCTCAATGGCGAAAAAGACATCAGATATCGAATCAAAGTATTTAAAACGGTTCAATTGACCTACAGCCCCGATCACGTATTTTCCCGCGTCCGCGTCACGATGCTCCGGGATGCACTATTTGTCGCCCAAAGCGAACAATTGTGCGTATAATTGAGGTGCCGATATTGATAGCAGGGCATCGTTGGTGAGCCGTCTGTCGGTCTATCTTCTATCGCCGGTAAGCTCTGAATAATCACCAGTGTATAGGAAATCCACGATTTCTCTAACAATGGGCATCCATTCATCCGTCATCTGGTACGTAGATTCTGCTGCTTCCTACATTTAAGCTAGGTTAGAAATTAACCGAGGGAAAAAGCCGACGTAAGGGACAACTTGCTTTTGAATCCCGGGTGCAAGCAGCTCGAAACACAAAAGATTGAGAACATAATATGATTTATGAACGTCGATATCGACTTCGTCACAAATGAGTTGAAATCGGTGTGAATACCACTTTCACGAGATCTTCAGTTATTTAGGAAAGCTTTATAATTCTGGGGGTGAACCTACTGCGAAATCTTATCAGTGATGCGCTGAGTTTGTGTTGATGAAGTGTTGGCATTGTTGCATTGGTTATATCGGAAATAAGAGGGCAAGAATATTACATAGACCTTGCTAGTACTCGAATGCATTTGAAACGTTGGTCAAGTGATAGCTAGGCACGGTCTCAGTGAATGTCTTGACGTAGTACCTTCAGTAATGACGTAGCTATATGTTAAGTCTTCACTATGAGCTAACTGTGTTTGATGAATAATTTTCCTAATCTTGATAACTACTGTACCGAATTTGTGGATGTTGTCCAGCAGATTACACATCCGGGAAACCGGAGAGGTCATTCGAACACGCCGAGGCTGATAGAGCGATTTACTTTAGCCCACTGCCTTGAGAAAGAATTGTAAAATTTAGATTTAGAATGGTGAAAGGCCTCGACAGTGTCAACGGTATAATTATTGCCATTCAATTACGAAGCTATTCATCACGTGACCCAAAATTATCTATATTTTGAGATTCCTATATCGAAAACAGACCAGTGTGTCTCAAAATTGAGTTTGAGAACATGAAGAAAGTAAAGTCCCAAAACTGATTTTGAGCCCGTCTATACAACAAAGAGAAGAGAAAATACCAAGGGCGAGCATGTAAAGCGATTGATAAATGTTAAATAAAATGGGAAAGTAAACCAAAAAAAACAATTAAATAAAATAGAATCAAGGATGAGAAAAAGAAAATGGAAGCTAGGATATAGAAAATAAATTAAAATAGCTGGAAAATGACAGGAAAGGAAAAACAGAAAAAAGAGGGGAGTGTTAACCTATTGAGTTAGTATTGAGGACGGTAAAAAAAATCAAAATCAAATAAAATCCATAAGCGAAAACGAGAAAAAAAAAAAAAAAAAAAAAAAAAAAGAATAAAAGAATAAAGGAAAACTAAAGATTAAAGGGAGATAAAATGAGGGATGGTTGGTAAGATCGCAAAAGAAACAAAAAGTGGAGAAAGGAAAGAACAAGGAAAACATTATGGGCGGTAGAATATGGAGAAATAAAAAAATAAAAATAAAAAAGAAAACCAATAAAACCCGGAGTTTCTCGTCCACTCACTACGACCCACTTATGATAGCTCTTCTTATCTCAAAATAGATACCTCGTCTAGTGGATAGATTGAGTAAAAGAGGGGGGGGGGGGGGCACTGCATAATAGGCTTCATATTGACAGAAAATATACATCGAGATATATTCATTCAGGCCTATACAAACGGACCAGGAATAGGCGGATATTAGACTAGTAGGTAAAACTCTCACGAAGCTTAAAAGGTAAACCAAACACAGAATAGGAAAACACTCATAACTTCCCAGAAGGAGCGTGCTGGGTAGTGGAAGGCTCCACCCGTGTAAACCAAGTGGCCTGTTGGCGACGCTGGAAGATGGGAAGAAGTTGACCCGATGCGTGATGTAGACGTGGCCTTTCCAGGAGGGATCGTAAATGCCCCCATTTTGACGGTTTGCTTGAAATTCGAATATACGGTATCTCTAGTTCCTGTTGCCGAAAAGATAGATGAAGAGCTCCGCCCTCTGCTATATGTGGCTGAGTGGGATTGGATTGTCGACGTAGCGATGGTCGATCCCTCACAATAGAAAAGGAATTGTTGGAATTCCGGAAGAGCTGAACTCGTAGTGCGCACTCCCGAGCCGGAGTCCACACAGGATTTGCAAGCGCGATGGGACACTTGGAATGGAGAACCTGGAGAGCACAGCTTCTGGGTCTTGGTAATTGATTCGGCCGCCTCCATCGCATCGTTACACGGACCATAGCACTTTCCCGGAATGTTCAGGTCTCGTTGGGTATTTACTCGCGGTTCGGGAAACTCGAAAATATCGTACCCAAGCCCGAACTGGAGAGGGCTTAAGTTGATAAATCCCGGAGCCACAGTGAATCGTATTTGGCCGGACGACGTCGTCGAGCCCTGAAATGAAGTACTAGGCAGCGGGGGACTGGGAATACACTCCTCGGGCGCACAGTAATAGGTGTCGGCCGGTGGCCCAGCTTCAAAGTTGCATTCACCGTTAGCCGTTCTCTTGGATGGGTTACAAAGAAAGTTTGGCGGGCAGCCCCAGGTGTAGTCGCGAGGTGGCCGTGATGTCGGTGTGTACGTTGGATTGATGACTCTGGTCGGGCAGATGGAAAGCGATGAGTCTATTCACGTTAGCCAACGTAGTCTCGTTCTCTTCTGTCTCCACACTTACTGGGGGAAACCGATGTCGAAGACAACGCGGCACTTCTATCATTAGTTTGAGCCTGCCCATCGCTGGGACTTCCGGAAAGAGGCACAGGATTGGCCGGGGTGACAAACAGCTCCGTCGACGACTGGACTCTCGAACTTAGTTCCTGTTCAGTCGCATGATCGATCGAAATTTGATCGGTAGATACCCTGGAGCCGCCTGTATTGGACTGAGAGGCGACTAGGCTAGAGTCGGGTCCTTCCTCTGTGGGCTGGCCTGAGGGGTTACCTGGACTCGTAGGTAGCGGAAGAGACGATAAAGGTGCCGCGTCGCCTGTTGTAGTGGGTAGAACCGTAATCCATAGACCCCCTTGTGGGCTCTCAGTAGCGCTCGTATAGACTACGACGGTGGTAGTTGATACTACGATTGTGGAATTTCCGGCAGGGCTCGTACGTGATGAGAGCGTGACTTGATCTTCTGAGAGCTTAGATGGGTCGCTGGACGATGTGGGAGTTGACTGCGTGACCGCCGTATTGCTTGGAACGTTGGTCATTGTCCAACTGGTCACATAGCTGGTATCGTGAAATGTAACTGTGGCGTATTGAGTTGACGCGCTTGGATCTGAATTGGGAGCTTCATCCGGAGCAGATTCGCTCGGCAGACTGGGTGTGTTTGATGTCGATAGGTCCACTTGCGAGCTATCGATCACGCTCGTACCTATTGCCGTGGTCCTCGATACCGTGATCGTCGAACTTTGGTCGGAGCTCGCTGAAACAAATACTCCACTCCCTGTCATGGTAGGGGAGTCACTATTTGACGACGGAATTGACTGGCTGATTGGCGTCGTGTTTGAAAGTCCTGTAGTCCCCCAACGAGTTGTGTAGCCGGTATCATGGACCGTGACCGTGGTATATTGAACCGACACGCTCACATCTTGCGTGAAAGATCCACCCGACAAGGGAGTAGGAGCGCTGGGAGCGAGTGTGATAAAGCTCACTACCGTGGTCACCCTCCAGTCTGTTACGGTGGAGATATCACCGACAGGAGTCTCGGTAGAAGCGGGTATAGTGGTTGTGCTTGAGACGTCTATTGACGTTGACTGGACGTCGGTGCTAGTTTGCGACGCTGTGGCTTGTGGAGACGAGCTTGCCATGAGCGAGGTTGTCGTTTGGATCCAATCGGTGCTAACGGTCGTGCTAAGGGCCGTTTCCGTACATGTACAGTCGGTTGTGTCCGTCGATGTCGTGGTCAGAGTGATAGTAATCATGCGTTTGGCCAGCTGGGATATAATCTCCTTTGTCGTCACCCCCACCCGCCCAGTCTGGCAGGAGGGCACTGTCTGGCTAGAAAGAGAGATGGAAACATCGGAGGCAACCAGTAAACAGAGACCTTGAATGCAAAGCAAGACGAGGGATAGGGTCGAACTCCGCATTCTGATTCTGTATGCGACTAGACAAGATTAAACAAAGGTGGGTAGAATGATACGGAGGAAGGGTGTCGAGTAAAAAGTCGTCGTGAGATAGACCTCCTTTATAATTGCTCAGTTCCATGGTGCGATACTAGCGCCAATAGGCAATTCGATCGGAATGGGTTTGGTTTTGAGTCATAAAAACCCCGGAGGTGATCCCATAGGGAGGGTTTTAGTACCCGCTTGGTCCACGATACTTTCATCCACAGATCATAAGACCCAGAGAGGTCGCCCTTAAGCCAAGTACACCACGGCAACCTCACTACAAAATGTGTGTTCTCTACTGGTGCCGCCGCATTTGTGCTTTGGCCCCTCTCACAGTTCATTATGTGCAGGACAGATGGGCAGCCCATCTGGATTCCTAAGTCATCAGTGATCGAAACACGAGCATAGATATCTGTAGGATGTATACGAAAATTAAGGGTTCTAGAACTAAAACAGGGATGATTCAAGTATCCCGTCGCACTACTAGCTGTGATGTTGTGGATTTGTCTTGAGATAGCGTGCCCAGGTCCGCCTGCCCTACAGCATGGAAGAAACGCTTCTTCCATTCTCTCTCCCTCTCGTCTAGCCAAATTTAATCTATTGCCATCCTTTGCTAGTCCTCTTCTCTCTAGACTTCGCGAAGAAAAACTCAGTGCAATTGCCACAATTTTACCAAGTGACGCCAAAATAAAGAGCAATTTCTCCCCACGGATAAAGTCAAATGTATCAATAGGCTCCACGGGGCTTAGTGAACCCCACAAAGTTCTAGATTTAGGAATTTAGAACTTGGCATCCTATTTTGCCTCATGGGTTGATCGGGACCAAGTAGGAGAAGGGCATAATCAAGCAGTTCGTTAAACGATTAACAAATATTTCTTTCGAACATCGACACACTAGCCCAGTTTCGAGTCATAAGAATAATTCAGATGACAGTTGGTGATAACACAGGTCGGGAACGAACAAAATTTCCACCCCCGCCGCCTACGTGGAGAGCATTTGGGAGCGAAACAAAAACAAAACCAGAGGTAACGGACCGTAGTAGGTTGCGCTGTCAATACGGCTAGGGGCCTAGATATAGATTAGGCGTTTTCGGGATTAATTCCGAGAAAAGACCAAGGATTTCAAAGTGGTGGAACAGATTCTGAGCGTGCATACACAAATAGCCGAATTTTTTCATCCCCTCCTTCGCTTTTGATCAAATGCCCCCTGCAAGGCCGCTTCAACGCGACAGTGCACCCTAGTTCTCCATTGTGAGTATGTCCGATAACACTATGTATTGCATGCCGGGTTCCATAGGCTAATGTACATGTCACAGATAGATGAATCTGCTCAATCTTCCTAATGAGCTTCGCCTTTTGGTAGCAGAGAGTCTGGATAAATCAAGGGACAAATTTACGCTGGCTTGCCTCAATCGATCAACAAGAGATCTCCTCCTTCCGGCTCTGTACAGATTCAATCTGCGGCAGCAACGTAGCTCTGCCTTATTTTGGGGTGCTGGCAACAACCGACCAAAACTTGTGGAAAGATTGTTGCGCGAATATCAAGCGGACGCTAACACTACGGATAGGAAATCTCGCACACCCATCTTCTACGCCGTTCACAATGAGGATACCACCATGGCTGGCATGCTTCTTTCTGATTGGAGATCTGATATCAATTGGCAAGACAGGTACCTGCAGACGCCACTAGTATACGCCATAAGTCGAAATCTTCTGTCCATTGCAACATTTCTACTGAAGTTCAATCCAAAGGTGGATAGAAAAAATTACAAACAGCGTTCGGCGATCTGGTATGCTGTCAACCAACGAAATGAAGATCTGGTGCAGGTTCTTTTAAACATGGGCAGCGATGTAGTAACGCCCGATTACAGAGGAACATCACCGCTTCTCCTTGCTATTTCTAAGAGAAGCGTCAAAATCAGCCGAATGATATTACTGCATTCGGAGGGATCGGGAAAGCCTTTGCTGGAGAATGTGCACGATACACATGGTCTGCTTCGCCAAGCTGTAAAGTCAGGTCTTAAAGATATCATTTCCCTATTGATCGCTAGTGGTGCAGACTTAAATTCGAGGAATGACGATGGTCAGAGTGTGTTGCATCAGGCCACACGAAGAGGTGACAAGGCTATAGTCCAACAGTTACTCGCATTTGAAAATATCTCGGTCAATGTGGCTGATAGAAACACCCGCACTCCCCTCCACGTTGCAGCAGAACGAGGGCTTAGGTTCATAACCAGTCTGCTACTTGGACACAAGGATATAGATGTTAACGTAAAGGATATGTACGATCAGACCGCCTTCGACATCGCAGTAGGATGTGGCAATAGTTCAATCACGAGCCTTCTTTTAGCAGCTGGTACTGTGGACATCAACGCTCCAGATGCTCATGGAACAACAGCACTCTGTGTAGCTGCACAGGAAGGGAATACAGATATAGCATTGCAAATACTCGCAGAAGATCTTGTAGATGTGAACGCGGCAGGCCAAGAGGGAAGGACAGCTCTTCATCATGCGGTGAGGACCAATAACATGCTGATCACATGCGCACTCTTAAATAGAAAGCGGATAGATCCAAATGTTTGTGATGACTACGGATGGATGCCCCTTAGCGAGGCTGCTTCCAATGGTAATCTACCCATAGTTGAACTTCTTCTCGCCAGGCGGGACATACACGTGAACGTGCAGAGGACCCCTCCGTTGTTCTATGCCGCTCAACGGGGTCATGTAGAGGTTGTACGTCGATTACTGTCCCTTGGCGATAGAATCGACATTGATCAACATGTCTCACACAAATCGGCTTTATGCATTGCCACCGAGAAGGACCATGCTGAAGTTGTAAGGCTTCTTCTCCTTCAGCAGAAACAGGGACCCGGTATCGACACCAAGGGAAACCCAGAAGACCCAGCGCTTTCATCCCCTGCCTAGAATAGATATTGCCATGAAGATGGAGATCTGTCTACATGTTACTGTTACCGTACTGAGACTCTAACTAGAACGGAGAGGTAAAAGATGGTAGCAATGTGAAGAACACTATTGATGCGGCTGACAATGCTCCGTCTTATGTTGTTTCGTGCGTCCATAAGGATCGCTTAGGTTAGTCCAAAACCCTATAGCTTAGTTTTCACTGATCAGTCCGAGATTACAATATCTACTCTCAGTCAAGAATGTAGAGGTATTTCATACACAAACCTGGCGGCGGTTACTATGGTCTTTGAAGCATGAGACATCGTCTTCTACTCTATAACGATTTGCTTTCCCTATAATGGAGAGAGAGGAAAGACAGAAAACTTGTTATAGTATATCAAGCTATACTATGATACAACGCAAAAGAGGCTGACTACAATAAGGTTTCCCGTTTGTTTATTGCTTTAGGAAACATATATATCATATACACTGAACCTCTGTATTCCCCTGAGGCAGAGTGCTACATATTATATTAAGTGACGAATGCTTAAATCAAGCTTCATGTCTTCAACTCTTGTATAAAGGATTGTTTCTATTGAAGAGAGGAGTAACGGAGATGAACCGTGGATGAAAATCGTAATTTTGTTTCCGAAAGTTACGGATCATGCTATGTTCTTGTTACAATACGGTTCGTGACTTTGTAACAATCAAAGTCAAACATAGACTGCGTGTTTCAGAGTAGAGTTCACCATGAAGTAAAGAGAGTAAAGAAGTGAATTAGGAGCGCATCTGTAAAATTATTCATATAGTTGCTGTCCGAATGAGCTTTGTTTTCTTTGGTTTATCAAGGACCAGACAAAGAAAAACGAAGAACTAAAATATAAATAAACACAAAAAAAAAATAAGACCAAGAATAGAATAAAATAAATATAAAATAAAATAAAATAAACCCAAAAGAAAGGAAAACGGGACACTTATCACCTTGCACGCCGACTTTTCCATTCTCTTTCTACCTACATTCTGACCAGAAGCCATCCTGCCACTACCAAATTAGGAAAAGGCAATCAGAAAAAGCCTCCATTCTTTCACAACTTCTATCACCTTGCTTGTGTGTTACAAAAGATGATGCTATACAACGACTCCGATGAACAAGATAGTGCACTCTTTGCTTGCGCATTGCGTCTAAGTAGTCACGTGTGTCCTTTTATTTTGTCTATCAGGTATTGAGATTCCATAGACAGATGGCGACCCTGGGCTAATCTTTAGCTATTTACTATTTCCATGGACACTAAGATCAGACTGGTCGGGTTTCCGTAATTTCAGTCAGCTCTTAGCTGCCATGATGGCAACAGTGGTCTGTGGTGTTTTTTTTCTTCTCAACCAAGCTGGCAGAAGGCCCCCAGTACCGAGAGCATCACCTCCGCGAATTCATGACGTTACTGAAGTAAGTCCTGGACCATAGCATTTAGAATAGCTAACTGACAATTTTGGCCTAGTGGATGCTATGAAGCTAGTAAAATGGGCTTTTTCAACATGTCTATTTTTCTTCTTTTGGCAGCGCAAGATTCTTTTCGACTTGCTTTGGCAGGTTGGGGCTTGACCATCGCCGTCACAGTATTCTACATCATTATGCTTTACTTGGCCAGCGATGAATTGATGTGAGCTTAATGCACTGTAAAAACAAGCTAAGTAGAATATTACATTTCTCAAACAGTTACGGAATATGTAAAATAAAACAAAAACTCGCTAGAACTCCATAGGAGCCTAACAGTGCATATCCAGAAATCAGATCAGCGTTGCCAAGTCGGTAATTGGCGGAACGTGTCTCAGGTCTAAGCTGACCAATACAGTCGGTAGGTGTAGTGAAAGAAAGGAAAGCCTTCTACCCCATCGCCTACGGGAAGATTTTCGGCGGTGAAACATGCGCGAGTCCAGAAGTGTGTGGAGCAGTAGCCATCACAAAGTTTACGAATCAAGGTAATTATGGGAAAGACAACATAAGAGTCGAAATATACGGACCTTGGAGTAACCACCCTCCCGCGATTACGCAGGGTAACGACGGGAAACGGCAACGGAAGACCAAGTCTCGCCTTGTCCTATCACCAATATTACTGCCATTGTATACCTACCTTCTAGATCTCTGCGCCTTTCCTATGATCAATTATAGGTCATCGGGTGGAAAGCCCTCGGTCCGCGCGCTGAAGGGGCCTGTAAACCTTGACGCAGACGAAAGGCAAGTAAACACCACAATGCTAGTGGATTGTACCAACCATTTCTGGACGGGGTTCCACATGTCAGTACTAGATATATCGCTTATTTAGATATACAGTATAACTGATTTCGAAAACTACTGTACATCTAACTAATAATATTGTTGAGTCAGCCAAGTTTATGACTGGGCTTTAGAGCAAATCATTGAAATGCGAGAAGGAATGTCTCCTATGTTTTATACACGTAGTTAAGCAAAAACATGAATTAGTTGATTGTTGAAGAACTACTATCGTGGTATCGATAGTTAAGAATCACTGTACCTGTATCGATTAAAGATCTGCGTCCTAGATCGCGCCAACGGGCGGCGCTCGGAGGACGAGATAATAAAAAAGACTCATAAGACATAACATAGGGAATATGCCACCTCCCGGTGTGCTTCCGGCATCTATGCATCTCGCAAAGCCGACAGCCGAAACGCGCTAAGTACTGATGTAGCCTTATTCTAATGCCGTTTGAAGACATGATCTCCGGTGGCTTTTGTGATGTGCCACTTTTGGACTGTCGCACGTAGTCAAACAAATTATCTATTTAAGCGCCAACTCTCCTCTTTGGAACGAAACGATTTTCAGGTTCCTTCACAGCCAACAAAGACCTGTCGCAACCGAATAATCCCCTCTTATTTCATCACTTTATTCTCGTGTCGTTTGTAAACCGTCTATACAAGAAGCCTCAGCTTATCCGCTAGCAAGAGATAATCCTACTGAATCGAATATTGGTACATACGCTAAAACCCCTCTCTTGTAAGTCACATACTCCTCGAGGAGCCATCAATATGGTCTACCGGGAGTCCATTAATATGGCTACATGCTGACAAATATAAACAAGAATATATAGCATTTTTATGGCAGTCTTAGCTTTGTTCCTTGTGGAACCCGACGATTGCAGTGAAGACGAGGCCGAGAAGGTCCTGAAGGATGCTCGGAGTGGCATAAGGAAAGCCGTCGAGCAAAAGAACCTGCATGTTAGATGGCTCGTCATGGGCTTCCCGTTGGGGATAGGCCCGATCTATTCCATGGAAGTTCTTTTCGATGGGCCACCCGAGTTGTTGGACGAGGTCCCTCGAGGCAAACCTGGAGTAACAGGAGACCCGGTTTGTTATCATTGGAAGTATGACAAGGTGGAAGCGGTGAGCAGATTTAGCAACCTCAATTATATTATGCAGATATAAAGGCCAGGTGCTCCGCCGGCCACCGAAAGCATGTATTTATCGGCTGGATTACGTATATTGTGTTCCAAAATTCCAAGATAGTACCTCTATCACATGTAATCACATATCCATCAAATTACATTGGAAACGTATGCATCTCGGCCTTATGCTTTACCTTAAAATAAATCTACCTTGTTGGTCAAAAATGTATAATACGGCGTCCTGATTTGGTTTTCAGCTTCGTGAAAAAGGACCAACATAAACAAATGATCGGCCGCCGGATAATAATTATTGCTACTTCCGCCGTCAGAGACTTTTTAATGCATAAAGAACTCGATTTGTTCTATCCAAGCCCGAAATCTTTCCTTTCCCTCCGTGTTCGTTTTGCTGTACCAATATCCTCGTACTTCATGATCTTGGCCTTGTTAACAAATTGTCAGCTTTGTATTTTGTCGAACATTTTTTCTGGGCGTTATGTAAGACGACGAAAGTAGAAACGAAAAAAATAGGACGTAGGAAAACAAAATCCAAAAAGGGGAGAGGAAAAACAAGAAAGAAAATAAATGAACGAAAAATCCAAGGATAAGGTAAGACTTACACGAAAAAAGAAATGCAAACAAGGAGTGGTAAAAGAGAATGGAAATAGAAAATAGAAAAATATGGAAACGGCGGTGAAATATTTAAATATAGAGTAAAACCCGAATAGGGCCTAGAGCCGCGGAAGTCTCCACTATATCGCCTACGTTAGTAAGATGCAGTGCGCCTAACGAACTGATGCTGAACCTACTACTCTGATTCTCTGATAGAATTTCTGCCTCAAAAGGGACAACCCGCCCTGTCAATATGTTCGATTCATGTTATAAACTCAATGGCTCTTGTATCGAGGAATTATAGTATACAAGACATCTTGTGGAAAGTGTAAGAGATTTATTGATTCACTCTCATTAGAAACAATATAGAAGGCGTGGGGTGGACGGACTTTGGTCCGAGTAAGGGAATGGTATCAAAAAATCTGTCGAGCCTCGAATAGTGGGCCATTTTTGGTAAGTAGAACTGGCGATGCGGGATGAACCGAACGCGAGGTTAAGGTGCCGGAATACACGCTCATCAGACACCACAAAAGGTGTTAGTTCATGTAGACAGCCCGACGGTGTCCATGGAAGTCGGAATCCGCTAAGGAGTAGTAAACTAAAGACAGAGTAAAAAGGAACTTGCAATTGCCCAGAGGGACGTGCAGGTTAGCGCAAGGAAGCTCCACCAGTGTTAGATCAAGGGTCCTCTGGTCGACGCCGGAAGACGGGAAGAAGTTGACCCGGTGCATGATTTAGACGTGGACTTTGCATGGGGGATAGTAAATGCCTCAACGGGGTCGCCTAGAGGTTGTATGTCAATTAATATCCCTTGGCGATGGAAACGACATTGATCAACATGTCTCACACAAGTCAGCTTTGTATATTGCCGAAAAGGCCATGTTGAAGTTGGAAGGCTTTTGCTTCAACAGAAAGGGCAACATGGTATCAACACCGAAACGAATGCAGGAGACCCAGTGCTTTCATCGGCTGCCTAGAATAGATGTTTGCCATGAAGGTAAAGGTTTGGTTAAATGTTTCTGTCACTGGTAATGTAGGTAGAAGGCATTATACGTAGCAGCTCGAGGTACGAAGGAAGACATTGGGGCAAAAAGTGGTAACAATGTAAAGAACTCAATGGATGCAGCTGAGGAAGCTTCGCCCTACGTGCTTCCGTTCTACGTTCAGGATCGCTCGAATGAGTCCAAAGCGCTATAGGCTTGTTCTCACTGATCAAGTCAGCGATTTGCTTTGTTTATATCGACATAAATAGCTACTCTGATTAAACCGTCTAGAAGTGTTTTTCATATATTTTGCTGGAGGACAGTTCGGAAACGTGTAAATACAGTAGTGCAAGTTTAACCATGAAGGTTAGTCTGGTACCCTACCGTAGTAAGGGATCGGGCAGTACGAGGAGCTGTACCGCCTAAAGGCCAAGCCATGAGGATGGTTGGCATTTTGTTGATCTTTCAAGACTTGAAGGCTATGATAGTCCGAGGATGCGGCAGGGCAAGGCATCGTCAACAGTGATGCGGGTACCACAAATTAATGCCCTTATCTCTCGGCTTATTCCTTGCAATACCGTGGTAGGAAAAATCTCTCTCTCCTCTCGTTTGTTCGTTTATCGCCATTTAGAATAGAAGAGATCAATCAGACTGCTGCGCCTCCTCATTCCTGAAGACGTCGTCGAGCCGTCACAGCTCTCATATTAGGACTAGTAATATTGATATCCTGTTGTTCATGGGGTTGACCGTATTGGAAGTAGGATTGGACTCCACAGCTAGACCTTTCACATCGGTGGGGCACTGCACTCTCTCCTGAGAGCTTCCAGGACTGCAAACATTCTGTCGTGTCAACGCGTGTGCGACTGTCGAGCGCCCCGTGTCGCAAGGGCTTTGTTTGGTAGTATGCTGTGTTTGGTTCACAGCAGTAAAGCCAGCAGACCCAATGGCACAACAGGAGGAACTTTCTCTACATAGAACTCCTCGATAAATTTGGTTAGCGAGTCAATATATTCCAGGTTGGTCATCGCTCCCAGGCTGACGCGTAGAATGCCAGTTGTCCGGCGATTTGAGACATCGTGGTCATCGCCGCAACGTAAACCGGCGGCATGATGGCGACGCAGCTCTTCGCCTGTCCACCCAAGAGACAAGGTCGTTCCTCTGGGGTTGTAATCCGAGCTACAGCGTAGTTGGATATTCCGTACGGCTGCCATTTCTTCTACCTCGGTCCTGGAGATCCATTAGCCACGACTGTTTCTCAAATTAAAAGCGACGATCGGGCCTTGGAAGAGTGGCTTGCTATAACTTGGTTGGTAAGTCTGACAGACCTTTATGTCATTAAAGTGTCTCAATACAGACAGCTGATCATAGAGTCGCTGAGCGAGAAACCCAGTATGTGCGGAACTATTAGACATTGACCCGTACAGACGCTTGTGCTAATGGCGGCATCTAGTGCGATGATGCTCTGAAAAGGAAGGGTATCGTTGTTTAGCCGCTCAGGGATCGAGGTGTCTTTCTTGGCATGCCATTGTGCTACGGATATATCGACATATTTACTGTACGCCTGCCAAAAAGCTTTCGTCTCTCAAGTAGGGAGCCAGAACATTTCCGGACAATCAAAGCCCCTAGATCCGGGAATCCAAAGATTTTGTGGAAGCTGAACGCCGTAAAATCCGGCGCGGTGTTTGGCGCGGTGTTTGCTTCACCAAAGTCAAGAGGAGCGGTTGATAGAAATGAGGAGGCATCAAGCAAAGTAGATACATTCCCTCCCTGACAGGCAACGGAACGGAGTTGCGCGCACCACCGAAGTGGGAGACGTCGACCATTCATGTTGGACTGGGCTGGAAAGGCAAACAACTTGGGAACTTAGACTGAGCTGTGCTAAGCTCAGTAATCCAAGCCTCGACATCAGCATCGTCAAAACATTGAGAGTTTATGTCCGCGAGCTCCCGCACACCAATCACACTGGTATGGGAGTCAACATGGCAGCCATACCAAAATCCGCCAGGGTCGGCTCGGCATCACGAAACAAGTCTCCAATCAGCTTCATAGCTGCTGTCGCATTTGCCACAAAGACTAAATCAAATCCATTGGGGTTGGCATTAAAGAACTGGAGGACTTGGAGTCGCACGTCATCTGTCCGCCGTGTAGACCGCTGTGATGATACCAACATCGGATGGTGACTGGACATTATATCATCAGAGAATGACTGGATAAAAGACTTGGCAAAGAGCGTGGTTCCGGCGTGGCCAAGATAAGTCATTCCTGCAACCCATGGAAGAGGATAGTCAGCATAGACGAATCCAGTCATTTGAACGACTGGGCTATACCATTGAGAAGAAAATACTCTTGCTCATGAATGGCATCCGTATCGGCAAAGTAACCCTGACCATATTGGGGATGAACGAATTCCTCTAAATATTCTCCATCATACTCGATTTGGCGCATGGAATCGAAGAGTATATTATTGCTTCCGCGATAATAGTGTGCTGTGCATGAGATTGAAAGTGCAGATAAAAAATTACTTTAATAGAAATGTATAATTGCCACAGAGATGGTGCGGTAGACATTTACAGCGGATATAGATAAAGGGAAAACAGTCGTTTGTGATCATGTTTACTAGGCTAGTTGGTAGGTTTACTGGCCGACAATGTTAGTCCCTATATAAGCAAGGTTGCGCGGTAGAACTCAAGGCCAATAAGGGTTCGAGGGAAGGACACATTTGGAATTAATTGTCTCCCACCCGCTCGCTGCAAGTATTCACCGTAGTTGCATCAACTACGAAGAACCCTATTTAATTCCTGGAGTGGACCCCATCGTGAATTCTCTTATTAACGGACCATGTATTAACTGGGGTCTCGAGAATTATGATTGCGACCTCATCAATTTTGTGTGGGTGAATATTTACTCCCCCTTCCCTTTTAGTTTATTTTCATTTATTTTTTATTTATTATTTATTTAATCTTTTTTTTTCAAAAAGAAAGAAAAAGGAAAATCGACATTAGTGCTTAGATATGCACTTCGACTAAAGCAAACCAGGGTACCAACGCTGAGAATGTTTCCGTAAGACTTATGAACATGTTATATCCCATGGTTTTGCTAGGAGAGATGATATCGGATTTTGCTCGTTTTCATAGAATGACCGCGAAGCGTGCGATGGCCGAGTAAAAACCGGCAACAGCTAACCTCTTTTGAAGCGAGGACAAGAAACGCACGGCACACATTCTAGTCGTGTATTTGGTGCACATTTTGGAGCGGCCGGTGCTGACCTACGGAAACAGTTGTAAGCCGGAACCGAAGAATGCCACTTCAAAAATTGACCCGTATGATTGGTCTGTTGATTTATAAGAAAACAATCACAGCTAAATGATTGCCACAGGATCATATTACGTGAATAATGGTTTGGTTAGCCGCAGCCTATTATGGCAGGCACCCGTTTTCGCAGGTCGCGGCGCTTCGCAGGAGTGTGAATACTTATCGCCGGGCGCGTTAGCGATAGGAGCAAGTATATACAGAGTCATTTAGGGCGAAGAAATCATAAGAGTCGAATATACGGAGGTTGATGCAATTACGGGAACAGCAACGAAGGCTAAGTCTCGCCTTATGCTATCACGAATTGTCATTGTACTCCGAATTTCTCGCTCTCACTGTCTTCTCCAGGACCAATCATATTTCATCGGCAGGAGTGTGACTCGCGCAGGTTTAAAAGGCCGAAGGTCCTTTCCATGATGGAAAGGCAGAGTAAACAATAAAAGCGCTAAGGAAATATTGTAATTCTCATCAGTTTTAAATGAACTTCACGTGCCAGCGCTAAGAGTATATCGTCGACCCAGATATCGACTAAGTTAGGCATGTTCGGATTAATTCGGACAGGACATCGAGGAACTGCATCCAGAATAGGATAATATTCTCATCTTTCTCCCAACGTTCGATTAAACTTCTCTGCAAGGCCAGCTGAACTTAAAGTTGCTGGCCAGTGTGAGTATAGTCAGTACTGTACCACTTTGTGCCATATGGTTGGTTGTGTGAGCTAATGTAGAATAGATAGATGCATCTGCTCGATCTTCCCAATGAACTTCTCTTACTGTTAGGAACACCGTGGGAGCTCAATAATCCAAAAGTGAACCAAACAGGCTACTATGAATGCGATTTTAGTGATTTTTCACAGTAACCCCTTAACTAGCAGTAGGCCATGTGTAGTATTCGTATACGTGACTGAGCAATGGGCGCTAGCAGTTTGGAACTCGAGCAGGAGTCTCACGAATCTTCCTTCCTTTCTGGCTTGAACGACACACCTAAGATCTAGAAGCCTCGGCGAGTTCAAGATATCCTCTTTGGTAGAACTAGACATGGGCCTATATTTTATCGGATCGTGTCGCCCGTGATAGAATACTACAGAGGACCCAGATTTATGGGTCAAATTTAATTTCACACATGACAGAATGACCGACCAATTTGGCAGGAATCGACTACATGTTATTATTAGCCGCCCCTAGCGACAAGGTAAGAGAATGACCCCAAAGGTTTGTGCCAGATTCTCTCCTAACTGGGTTGACAAAAAATTACTACCGGTGTTTGATCTTACTTTCTCTTCATTTGTCAGGCTTTATTGTCGGTACCGACAGAATTATAGCGAGAATTGCATCACGGAATACTGATTCGACTTCCTAGCTTTGACACTTGCATGCTGAGCCTCACCGTCTATCTCTGCAAGGAACTCCAATTTTGAGCAGCACGTTTTAACAGCAAAACGCACATCCCTGACATATACATCCCCTGTCTTTAAAAAAGTCCGCAATGCCACCGGTGAATCCCAATCTTGCCGCAGCCAGAATTTCCTAAGCCCCAAATAGCTGCCTTACCTCATCAGGACACCGACGGTATACGGCAATAGGGCGACCCATCAAATCCTGCTTCCACGACCTCAACATTTATCGGAGCATGGCATGCGACCTTCGAGGCTACAGTATCATGGGATGGAGATCTCCTCGCACAATCGCAACGCTCTACGGTTTATTTATAACTCCACCCCACCGAATGAATGAAATACGCAGTGATTGATAGTAGATAATTGTACTTCTGAACATAAAAGGGGCAACACCAAAAGTAAACGAGATATATTGACTACATACAGCCCACTCAGACCAACTGGGTATCTGATCAGTACAGATGAACGTGCATGTCTGCATGGGGGCTACACGACTTGGTTGCCAAATTATCAAACGGCTGGTTATATACCGACGGACATGGTATTTCATTGGCACGACAAGAGATCGCAGGGCAAGTTGATATACTTGGCTCAACAATGACACTGATTCCGCCACCTCCGTCTCCGTTAATATAAGATAAATCATAGAACATCTGGTCTGTGAAGCAATAGAAAAAGCTGTCACATTCAGGTGGATATGGAGGACAGTAGCTCATTTCAAATTGAATGATGTTCCCGCTTCCCCTCTGTCGTGACAGTTTGTATGAGGCCGCAGTTCCATTGATCGTCGGCTGATATTGCCCTGACCATACTTGATTTGATGGAATAACAACATCGGCAAATGTATCTTTGGTTGTACCTACCATGTACACAGGAAAGCTGCAATGATTGTGAAGGAAAGTGCTCCCACGGTTGGAATTCTGACCATAATCGTAACAGGCTACTGACAAACTACTCGCCGAGGCAATAAGCGTAACGCCAACTGCAATCTTTAACAACAGGTTTATTATACCGTGGTGCATCACCGAAGTGTGTTATAGTCAGACCTGGAAATGTGACTAGCAAGCTGGCAATCAAATATACACTAGGGATGGCTTTCCTACATGGTCTATTTAGGGGAGCGTGGGAGAAAGGCCAGCAATTACTCTTACGTTCTTTCGTTATAAATAGTTTAGGTGCTATTTTATAACCAATCTGCGAGACTTGAAATACGGGTGGGGTGGACTGCTTCCCCGGAAAGCGACAGTCAACTTCAAAATGGTGGCTGATAATAATATTCTACCGTCTGCCACCGATTATGATAATATTCTACAGTCTACCATCAAGACACTGCATTCGCTCCCGCAACTCCGACTTGGTATTGAAAGAGTTTCTAGTACAGAAGTCACCACTCTGGCCAATATGCTAGCCGATGATAAAAGTCTTATCCAAAGGAGGCTTGAGGTAGATCTCGGGTTCTATAGAGGATTCTTGATATTTGTGGGGCAGCTATTGGCTATCGTTAAAGAGTACTCCGATGCGGACATAACCAGTACCGGCTTCCATCCCGAAAATCGGAAGATGATCGAAAATTGCTACCGCCCATTCAGCCCGACGGGTGAGGTGCCTTGTGAATTCATAAAGAAAGATATCCAGGATGCATCAGCGGACTACAGGATGATTATTCTCCAGCAGCTACAGTTAGGGCAAATAGCTGACAAGAATGGATGTTAATTTCTGCAACCACTCCCACATTGGTCCGGTAACCCTTTCCCCCACAGGGCGGTCCATGATATTCTAAAGCCGTTATTCGTAATCACGGTATAGTACGACGTATGCAGGCCTAAAACTGTGCAAACAAATTTGTTCAAATAACATTCTTTTAATATCTTGGGGAAACCAGGAAACAACAACTATCTTAGTATGGGCAATCAGTCTCAAAATAAGATAGGAATTGACACGAGAAACACTGAGGTTTTCCTACAAACCAGTCAAGGGTAAAGATTCAATGAAAAGGGAAGGCAGGATAGCAATTTTTGCAGGGTGCCAATAAAAGATAGGGCTGGTAATCGAAAAAGTTTATTAATTGCAAGTGTGGCGTGGCGTGCAAACGCGCCTCAATCGCAGTGCAGACGGCGGTGTACAGGATAAAGCCATTCGGACCTTCACCATGTTGCAGTTATTTTAACAACAGAGTCTGAAAATGTTTCATGATAGTCCTGCAGAGCTCGTTCAAGACAAATACGGTCAACAAGACCACTACAGTACATGCAAACAACCCCCACACCACATGTGGATATCCATGTAGTTACAATGGCTGGGAAGCCCGGGAAGCCCAGCAACATGCATCCTTCCTCACTTCCACTTGCACTGGAACTAAACCCACGGCCCCAATGCAACAATGAACCGCACCACTACGATGGCCATTTCAAAATGCTTCTCCAGTATGCCGCAGCTGTCAATGCCGTTTTAGACTTCGTTGGAGGCGTCACAGATGTTTCGCTAAGCCATGGGCATAGTTAGCTACGCACGGGCAACAACTGGCCGCCAAGACCTTTGGCCTCCGTGACAATGATCATTGCGGTTCCTGGGCAGATTCCCGTAACAGCTTCCTAGTGTAGGTAGCTGGTGAAACACTGTCGATTCTTCGCAAATGACCGCCTTTGGTGGATCAGTTCTATTCCCGCTCTCACGGAGCGCGGATGTTGTCGCGAACAAGCGCCTTCATCCTTATCAGCAAGATCGGAAGGGGTGTTGTTTGCCCGCGCTTGCCGCCTCCTGGGCCAGCTGATCTGCTCGTCATTTCCTGAGTTGTCGCAGTGCACAAGCCCCCAGCACCCACTGTAGACGAAATGCTTCTCCTGTCATTTAAACCTCCGTGGCCGTATGGTGAATGGCATGGCCGGCCTTGTTAGGTTAGGGTGCCATCCACGCCTCGGGCCGTATCTCTATTATTATAACGATGCGATGCTGATATACATAGTGCATTCTGTCTGCTCCGATGTCAGATACAAACCATCAGTTCTCTAGTCTAAGTGAAAACGGTGATGCACCGTCGAACTCGAACAAACTTTCACATAATGGCTAATGTGACAACATACAGCTCTGTTTCATCCCCATGTGTACCATCGCGGAATTGGCCGAGATCGTCCTCCAACGCCCAGAAAAGCTTAAAATATCCGATGGCTACAGCAGCAAAACTCGCATTGGCTATAGCTAATACACTCTAGCAAATCAGCCCTGCGTATTCGTAATATGGGTATAGTAAAATATTCGACGCATCGTATTACACTGAAGGCCGTGTCAAACTGCCGTAATAGGGAGTGATTACTTGTCATCGCTTTTGCCGATCAAATTGTGGTGAAACTAGGGAACGAACTCCTAAGCCTGGCAACATAGGACTGCAAAAATTGGATTATATCACGCTTAGTTTGAAGAATACGACAATTCAGGCACTTGGGGGGATTTCTTCTAGGTCCTCGCTAGCGTTGGACGACTCGGCCGGCGATGATACCTGATCCTCGTCCATAGGCCGTTCCTCAACCACCTTGTCTGTCACATTGTCCAGGAATAACCCAAAGAGGTTTTTATCACCTCGCTGCTTGAATCATAAGTCACGGCCATCCAAGTAGTTTGGGTAAGATATACTCACTATACGCCTTGCCACGCGCTCTGCAACGCATTCTAGTAGGTATCCTGGACGCTGCGTAGTCTTTCGCACCCTATGCCGTGAAGACATGTGAGGGCTACGGAATTGCGGCTGCCCACCCGGCAGTGGAGGATACATGGGCTGCATGGGCTGCATGGGTTGCATGGGCTGCCATGGCTGGGAGTGAGATTGATTTTGCGGTGGGACTTCATGCCTATCGTACGGACCAAAGAAGAACTGTCCGGGGTGATATGGGGATGGTGAGAATGGCAGATTAGATATGTTTTCACCGGCCCGCGGTGGGGTACTTTGTCTGCCTAGGCCGACTGACTCGGCTACTGGGGCGCTGGCATTTGGCGTTGAATCCATCGTAGAAGCTTCACAATTGTTGATAGCGAAATTTGAACATATTCCACCAATACTAAATACTATGTCGCTATCTGAAGATGAAGGTCTGACTAAAAATAGCATCGTATAGGTTTATTCCGGCTTTAGAGGTCTCTTTGTGAAGGCTAAATTTAGCGAAGCTAAATATACTTGGGTCCTTAGTAGAGGGTCGCAATCTAGTCCTGAAGACAGCCAGTATTCACTCCGCTGAAAGTAATCACCTGGTGGACTGATGCCAACTTGACATACCTGTCTGCAGTGCAACTAGGTAGGACAATTTCAACCAAGAAGGGCTGGTGCGAGGTCCAACCGCCGCAGAAGCAGGGGCTTCGGGCTAAACTCATCGAGTCTACTTAAGACGATCTTTTCATGCAGCCTCTCCAGTATGAGGCACGCCGCTCAAAATTGAAGAATACGTTGGTGAGTCGCAAAATGTACGAGCGATGCAATCAGGTGCTGTCCTTGTTATGCAACCTGGGAAGACCCAGACCTAAGAGCGGGAAGAAATGTTGGGAAAATAGTTTCCAATTTGCCCACAAAGGCTACTAGATGCTGTATTGTTCCACACTGCTAGAGTTTCATCCGATATTTAGTTGCATTCAAGCAGTGATTTTCTAAAATTTACATAGCCCGGAATCATGTTCATCGCTCATGTGGCTCAGCGTAGACGTATAGGCCTAGATTATGATTAAGCTTACGTGATTAAGACCAGCAGCCCTTATCCTAAATTCCCTGGGTTGGAATTAACCTTTACATCCAGGAGAACGAAGGATCTCGACAGCACGTTCATGACCCCGTTCTCGCGCGGCCTTTAGAGGTGTCCATACCTCCGTGGCCACCAACAGCTTTACCACTGAGTCATGTCCATTATCTGCGGCAGGTAGCAATTGGGGTCTGCCAAAATTAGTTCGGATTGACTTCTTTGTAGAAAGCAGTTGCTTAACCACAGACGGGTGTCAATTTTCCGCAGCACTTATGTAACAGTGGTGTCGCTACTCCGAACTCTATTTAATTTAGTTGTCCACCATAAGCAATGAGTGTCTTCACCACAGCACTACGCCCCGTCGATGCTGCCACTAGTAGTGGCGTTTGCAGGTAAATATTTTTACAGTCTGGATTTACTACATTGGTACAACGGAAACCCGTACCACAGACTCATGACCGTTTTCCGCTGCTATCACTAGGGCATTCTGACTGAACCTGAATAATGCAGGAACATCAGCTGCGTCTCGTAAAGGCATCGTAACTGTAGCTGTTTGTCCACACTTCGCAGCCCTGAAAAGAGCGCAACTGCCAGAGTCGTACATCATATTGATTTGAGATATAAGATTAATGGCCTGTAAAAGTCGGAATTTGTCCGCTCAAGAGCATTAATATTCCTTTTGGATGGCTGGCGTCTGCCACAGTCGTAATAGCTCATTGGGTAACTGAATAGTTAAAGGTAACTTTACCATCTAGTCAGCATGAGAATACGAGCGACGACTAAAGTATAATGTCATCTTCATGTCATATTTTTAACAGTTGCACTGAATACAAAGTGTGGGCCAAACACGGACCTGACCTATCAAGGTTTCCTTAGGCGGACGACATATATAATTGAAGTCCTATTTCGATCCCAAATCTACGATACGTAACGAAACAGGAACAGCAGGTTCCAAAAGAGACCTACCACAAGAACAAATAACATAAAACCTTCGATATCAAATCCGTTGACCGGAGCTTCCCTTCTAGGACGATTTCACCCTTGTCTACTCGAGCAGCAGGGTGGCTCCCGGTTACGGTTACTCATCAGGGAAGACGGACAAGTGAGCATCCGAGATACAGTTGATACTTGCTACATAAAAAAGCCGACATATACCTTCACCCCAACTCCAGCCATATCCCGCTAGATCTCTACTCTGTACTCTCATATTTAGCAGCTATTGGGGCTCTCCACATAGTATTCAGGCGTCATCCCATCAAGTAATTAAGAAAGGCGCCAATCTACATATTCACTGACCCAATAGGTAGAGAGCCATATAGTTCTTGATCAAAGGCATTTGGCAAAAATCCCGGATCAATTAACCCCTGGTCTTTTAGTCCCGGGCTTGGTGGGGCAGGGTTTTCGTTGCTAGACCGACCAAGATCTGGATCGTCTGAATGCAACAGCTCGGATCCCTTAGTGGAGAGCAATATAAGTGTATCGTGGCTTTTCTGTCTCAGATCACTTCTTTTGGTGGCGAAAGGGTGACTCACATTGTATCCTGTTGCTTGCTAAGTACTGCAATGGAATTTTGTAACTGGGCCCATCGTTGACTCCAGTCATTTTCTAGAACAGACAGTCGTTGCTCTAGAGTCGAGAATCGCTTTTCCAACGAGGAAGGTCCGTCTTGCATTAATGAACACTCCTTATGGGCTCCTGGGACCGGAGAGCTAGAAAGCGTATACGGTTTGGTTGTCTTTCTATTCGAACTAGACCGCTTCCGGATACCGTCGTTTGTTTTCCAACGAGATCCCAGGTTTGCATTCGGGTCCCAGCGTGCAGTCTCGTACGTTGATAATTGGGTCGATGGATATGACCTATGCGACGTTTTTCTCGTCCCCGATGGTTCATATCCACTGCCACCATGCAGAGTAGGTCCTGTCATTCTGTAGAGATTCGAAAATAGATGGCCATGAAATAGAGAAGATGACTTTATAAGTGACACGACCTTGGAGTTTCAATGTGTCCTATCTTTAGCATAACACCGAAAATAGCATACTCCAAGTTTCGATCTAATAATAACCCCTATGAAGGAACAAAGCTTTAACCCATATTGTTAGTCAAGTGGCTTTTTCTAAGGGACCGTGATCTTCAGTAGAGGAGCAGCCTCGTACGACGAAGTCTCTTGGTTTGAATTATTACAGTATGGATGGATGGATGGATGATATCATTTACCCTGACCTCTCGCTTTTAGTTGGATTCTAAACCATAACCCACTAGGCTGAATGCGGATTCGTATTTTAGTCTAGTTGGGAAATCAACTGGTCATGAGCCCGGATTGCATGACCTTTGAGCGCGCCGGTTCGATCCTCACAGTTTGCGTTCTTGAGCACCCAGAGCCACCAGAAGACGGCCTATGATTGGTCGCATAGCCAGGCAGCAGAGCTCCACACGCGCCCCCAACCAAGTGTTTATGGTTTACGGGGGAGAGTTGGATTCTAAACCATAACCCACTAGGCTGAATGCGGATTCGTATTTTAGTCTAGTTGGGAAATCAACTTTTTTGCGAGGGGTCAGGGTAAATGAAATCCATCCATCCATCCATCCATACTGTATCATACTGTGTTGAAACTGGCTGTCATACTACATATGCAATGCTTCCTACCACCATCTGCTATTGTCCGCTGGCACATAACAGTATCAATGTTAGATCTATCAAGTGGCTAACATTACACGGTAACTCGCAGAGTGACAGTACACTGTGTAGAGACTCTCCTAGCACAGAACCACTCTACTGACGAGGGATAATGAATAGCGCAGAGGCTGTGACCACTGTGGCCAGGTCACCGGTGTCTTTGTCCATTAGCTTGATTGATCCCTCCATCTCAATCTTCCGTCCATTGACCTTTGTTGGCCAGGCTTCCAGGAACAGCTCAGCATCAGGTGGCACTGGTTGATGATAACTGAGTGTCAGACTTGCAGTGACCGGAGGGTTGCAGCAGTCGACAAAGAGCTGGTTACAGCAGTCGGCAAAGAGCTGGTCGAGGAGAAATGCTTGGTACCCTCCGTGGAGCTTCCCCGGGTAGTAGCATACTCCCTGGCTAGGTGACAAGGCGATTTCTGCCCGGGCCTTATTGCCTACCTCACTCAGATGAATGGTGGGTGTGTAACCTTGAAGAAGCACATGTTGTATTCCGTATGTGGGGTGCCTATCGAGGCTGTCGTGATGAAACTGTATCGACTGGTACTGCGGCAAACTGTTAGCTCATTGAACGTCGAATCTAGCGGACTAGGCGAGGAATCACCTTCTTTCGTATGTTGGAAAAAAGACCCTTGCGAGCGTGAAGTTGTATTCGTGATCCGTCCCATAGCATATAAAGAAGGCGCTGAACCTTTCCCCTTCCCCCTATCCAGGCAGAGTGGCGACGTGGATACATGACGACTGCGAGGAGGTTTGAGATCCAGGTATGACTCTCTCAGTCGAAAGCAAAATTGAGATGGAGAATCCGGATATAAGACGAGATTCTACGCCTAGGTCCCTGTGTGTGTGGGTCTAGAGCAGATTCCTTTATCATACACAGTGTACCAAAAAGCTAGAAAAGGTAGCAGTCATGATTGCGTTCACTAAGCGTATCGCATTCTACTGGCCATCGTTAGGACACACTAGACATATTACGGTTATACATCCGTTGCTTTGACCGAATAACCCTCGAAAGACCTAGACCTTATCGATTATTTCTCGCTGAGTGAAATCAACACATCGAGTGACATCATGGGATCCAGTTACTTTCCTTGGTGATATCGCCCATAGATGTCGCGTTGCGGTCTAGCCATGGGCCATGCCCTGTGTGTTCCTCGCCTGGGGTATTTAATACATGCTTTGCCCATTCACAGGCAGCGTCTTCTTCCTTGTTTACAGCGCTTTTTGGGTAAATTGCCTATTTACTTCGATTTATTTATCTTGGTATATTGCTACCAATTCGTTGCTCAACATGGATACACACCCGGAGCTCTCATCTAGTGGCCCAGACCCCAACCACAAGTTGGACATAACGGTTCAGGAGGAGCCACAAACCCCATCATCCAGCCCTACCCTCTGTTTTGGTGACCCCAGCTGGACTATTCACTTTCAAGACAAGAAAGACGACTCCCAGCCTACCGACTATAGCGCTCGCCAGTGGGGCACTGCTACAAAAATCCTAATCTCCATCGTTGCAATTGCCTCGTTCTTTGTGGTGTACGTTCTGATTCTTCCTCTTGAGGCTTCGACTAAAAGTTGATTTCAGCACCCTGACAAATTCGATCTACATTGCTGCCATTCCGGGCGTTAGAGCGGAGTTCCAGATTGGATCTACCTTGGCTATATCGCCCGTTACCCTATACGCTATGGGGTTTACGATTGGTCCTCTCCTCTCGTCGGCTTTGTCAGAGGAGTTTGGGAGACAGTGGGCTATTAAATGCTCTCTGCTCCTTCACCTGGTCTTCACTATCCTCGGTGCCACAGCGCGAAACTTTCGGACCCTTGCCGTTGCCCGTGCCTTATCAGGCATTTTGGGCTCTCCATTGGTGACCATATTTGTGGGAGTCCTGAACGATATATGGAAGATGCCTGAAGATCGGCTGGCAGTCCCTGTATTCCTGCTCTATGGACTCGGAGGTATCGCTGCTCCAACAGTCGGGCCTATCATTGGACAGCCCGTCGTGGAAGCCGGCGGATGGCGGTGGTCCTTTTGGCTGATAGCCATACTGATTAGTGTCTGCTTTCTCGCAGTCCTTCCTATCGCAGAAACCTACGAACCGGAGGTGCGGAGGAAGGCGCTCAATCTCCCTCGTCGTGACTGGCGCAAGCTCATAGGTCCTGCCGTCCTACAACCTCTCGATATGCTCTGGAAGGAACGTATCATATTCCCCACCACTTCTGTTACTATTGCGGGCCAAGTCGTGCTTTTCGTTCTCTACGAATCGTTCCCGATCATGCTGAACGAGGTCTATGGATTCTCCCCATACCAGACGGGGCTGGCCTTCTTAGCCCAACTGGCCGCAGGCTTTGTGGCATTCCCACTGTTAGCCTTTATCGAGAGGAAAAGACAAGCCACCGTGGAAGACCCGGAATTTATTCTCGTCGGCGGCAAGTTAGCGGGTGCCGCGATGTGGGGTTCTCTCTTCACGTAAGTTTTGGAAACTCCTTCCCTATACACCAGCCGGGCAATAAATTTGGAGACTTCAAGTCATCAGGAGAGACCCGTCCCGTGGCACCAGAAGGTATACTGACATCAAGATAGTCTCGCATGGTTGCCACGGCACAATGTTCATTGGGTCTGGGTAATTCTGGCGTCTGCTGTTTTCGGGTTTGGTTTTGCGTTGTCACAGGTATTTTGCTTCTTTTGACTTTGAAAGACTGCCGCTCATCTGTTCTGCAAACAGTTAGTCTATGCCTGCTACAAAAACGAGGTGTATAGTGCCGAGCTCGGGGCTTCCGTTCTCGCAATCGACGTGTCTATGAGATACGGGGTGTCGTGTGTATTTCCCCTGTTCACCATGCAGTTTATGGAGCGGATCGGGTTTCACTGGATGATATCTCTGTTTGGGGTTCTACATCTAACCCTATGGACTATTCCGTGGGCCTTACAAAAGCACGGTGCTAACGCGCGCGATATAAGCCCCTATCTGAATCGCCACTCCCGACCGTACGAAGATGCTGTGAAGAGCATTCAGACGGCGTAAATGCCAACCCAGAGTCGTAATGAGATATGTACATGGCGGCTCTACCCTTGTAACAAAGATTTCATGTCTGTAGTCTTGAGCTTCATGGCGGTTCTAGGCTCCTTCTGATTGAATTGGATGTTATTACCACCTTGGGCCCCGACTAAGTAGGGCTGATTTGAAGTCCTGCCACTATTATATCATCATAGCTCTAGTGTCCCTAATACGGGAACCTCTTGTTTCTGAATGCGAGATTAGTTATCCGTACAGTAGCCAAACCACGCTTCATTCTTCCTGAAGTTGGATAAACACCCATTACACTAATCGCGCAACGCTGCTTTTTTGGCTTTTGCCGTCACATTAAGATCAATTGCTTTTGGCTCCTTCCTGCATGGTCCCCACTATCAGCGTCGATATTTATTCTTCTTTCTAATGAGGATTACAAACAGACCACACTTGTAATAGCAACAGGTGCAACACGGCAGGCTTTAGGTTACTGGCCGCACTCTATCCGGTCAAAGAGGGTATGGCAAATTCTACGCAGATCAACGAGATCCGACCCATCGTATCACTTATCGATCCTATGCCATAGAACTACTGTCAATTCGATACGCTCGACAAATGCTAAAGAAATGATCGAGATTCGTTTGACTGACTCTAGAATCCTCATCAGTTCGGGGTACTAAGTCCACAGATCCAGTCGCTATAATACATCTCATTCCCTACCTACGCCTTAGGAAAGAAAAATGCAAAAGACTGAGGAAAAATACAAAATAAAAACAAAAACAAAAATAAAAATAAAAATAAGAATAAAAATAAAAATAAAAATAAAAATAAAAATAAAAATAAAATGATAGGTTCTATTCGGGACTGTTGCGTGAGAGCCCCTTGCGTCGGGCCCACGATATCCCGTGCTGGACATCGCACACAAATATCGCCTGGCCTTCCCCTCCCTCGAAAAGAACATCGCCGTTTCGAGGGAGAGCCGGGCTCTCTCCGCGACGGTTTCTTCAATAGTTCCTTTTACAATGGTGCGTCATAGTTCGGCGGCCCCCAGTCTAACCCCTGGGGGACAGACCACCCTGGGCTCCTCGATCTATCCACCAGAGTACATATGGAATTCCCTCTCCGACTCCCAGCAGGACTCATTCATCTCTACTGTGTCCGCGTCCCTTGTTGCGGGCGACGGGCAGCGCAAGCGCCCACGTTTAGACCTCACTGCGGAAGAGGATGCTGACGACGGTAGGGTCCCGTCTCTTGTTTTGCCAGTCCTTCCCCGTTTCCCCGGCCTCGACCGTGCTGCTATTATAGCCGTTTTCGAGCACACCTTCCGACCAAAGAAGGACCTCATAAAACTCCGTAGCCCTGAGTTCAAAGCCTCGGCACCGGATGGCGAGTCTTTCGACTTAAAATCCACATCATCTGGCCTGCAATTCCGCAAGGTAGTCTCAATTAAGGACTGGGGAAATGACGCATCCCTCTGGGCCCATTGCTTTAGCAATTACGTCGCTGTCTGGTGTGATTTCTTCGCTGCTAAGCACCCGTTATGCATCAGTGGAATGGTTCTCTTCCACCGCCGCATTTGTGACCTTGCTAGGGCATATAAATGGCAGGACTGTATCCTGCAAATGGCCCTGGACCACCACCAGATGGTCGTCGATAAAGGCGACCTCACCGTTTCTCTTAGCGATTGGGAAATTGGGAAAGCCCTCGAAAGCTCCTACCTTCGCCCGGACAACGTGCTCCCAGCAAAGACAGCGCCGGCTACCCCAACCACACGGTCAACGCGCTCTACCGCTGCGCCAAATAATGACACTGTCATTTGTGAAAAATTCAACTCTTCTGCTGGCTGCCACTGGCGAACATGCCACCGAAGACACGTCTGCTCTAAGTGCGGCAACGACCATTCCGTGACAAGCTGCAAAGTAAAACCAGTGAGTTAGGAGCACGCCGGGGTCGGCCCTGGTATAGGTCAAACCCTGTCGCCACCAACTAGCTGGCCAGCCCCGCGTCCCAACACTTCTATTCAGTTTGAGGTCTTCGACCCTTCCCTCCCGCCTCTGCGTGATTCCGCTTCTCCCTTCATTGCTTCGGCGTGGAAAACCCTCCTCGAACGCTATCCTGGCAACCTAGGGACTATCTGCAGCGGCATCCTTACATTCGGCTGCCGCCTCGGTTGTACGATCCAGCCAAGATACCGTCGAACTCCTAATCACCGCATCGAGGAACACTCTCTTATCACCCAGAAGCTCTCTGATGACCTATTATGTCGTCGGGTGCAACCATCTACTGGCCCCGTCGTTGTTTCCCCACTAGGGCTGGTGCCTAAACACGACGGGAGCTGGCGCCGTATCCATGATCTTTCCTACCCGCCGGGTCGCAGTGTCAACGAGTCCATCCCCGACGCTGCTTCTACTATACAATACATATCTATGGATAACATCTTCGATCTCATACGCACGTCTGGACGAGGATGCTATATCATCAAACGCGACATCAAGGATGCCTTCCGTAATATCCCAGTCGCCCCCGCTGACCGGCCCCTCCTAGCCTTCTCATGGGATAGCAAGACATACATGGAGTGCTGCCTCCCATTCGGCCTTTCAACGGCACCCTTCATCTTTAACCTTTTTGCTGAGGGCCTTAACTGGCTCCTAACCGCTTACTTGCCGTTGGCCTCTATCGCTCATTACCTTGACGATTTCATCGTTATTTTTCCTTCCTCCGTGGGAGGTCTCTCTAAAGCCCTTACCGCTTTCAATAGCGCATATATTCCTCTCACGGATGCGTTAGGCATCCCATGGAATGACTCGAAAGACGCCGCGGGTACCGTGGTCAGTGTCCTTGGGGTCAAAATCGACACGACACTTCTGCAGGCCCGTATGCCTCGCGATAAGCTAGCACGCGCATCTTCCGAAGCCGCGTCGCTACTACAGCTAGATCGTGTCTCGCATAAAGCTTTGCAACGTGTAGTCGGTTTCCTCCAACACTGCTCAATAGTTATCCGTCTCGGCAGAGCCCGCCTTCAGTCGCTCTACAGCGATCTCGCATCCTTCCCGCCTCACCAGCGCTCCGTCCGCCGCCTATCCCATGATAGCCGCGGGGATCTCGCGTGGTGGAGGGACACTCTCCCGTTATTTAACGGCATCCATTTCTTCGAGAAGAGCCGCCCCCTAGTTGCCCTCTACACAGACGCGTGCGACTCAGGTCTGGGCCTCTTCTTCTTCTATGCGCCCTCATGGGACTCCGCCAGGGACTGGATGTCTGCAGCGCCTCACCTGCCTTCCACCCATGCGGCTATTGTGGACGCCTCCTCCGCCTGCGGCGACGTGGCCCACATTAACATTAAGGAGGTCTCTGCGATCCTGCAGGCCTTCCTCATACACAGCCCCCATTGGGCTCATCATCGTGTCCTCGCTTTCACGGACAGCGCCGTCGCGTTTCATGGCCTGTCTAAGCAGGCACTCCGTGGGCCGGCTCATCGCTCTCTGCTCATGCTTTTCAGCATAGCAGCCGCCCTTGACATCGAAGTCCAGCCACACTGGCTTCCTTCATCGGAGAACCTACTAGCTGATGCACTGTCCCGTTCCGATTATAGGATCATCGCTGATATTTGCCCACAGTGGACGAGCTCCTTTCCCTTGCTCCGCCAGCCTGGTTCTCTCGACAGCCTATTTTCGTGAATGCTGGCCATGCAAAGTTGGTCTGGAATGGCCTTGCCGAGGGAACCAGAAGAGGCTATCGCTCTGCGCAGCGCTCGTACACCCGTAGCTGCGCTATTATCGGAGTGCAGCCCTGGCCAGCCACTGCCCCGTCGATCTGCACTTGGCTTACGGAACGCCTGCTGGGCGCGGGTAGTTCCCCACCTGTGAAGCCCGATTCAGCTATGTCTGAGCTCTCGGCTCTCCGCGCGTATCACATCGATAACGGTCTACCTGACACAATTTTTGACCTCCACGCAAAGCATTTTCGTCGCATGATCGATGGCGCTCGTCGGCTGCAACCGCCCCGCCAAAAGCGGATTCGCAACCCAATCTCACGCGCCTCAGTCATAACCCTTTCAGGGAATATCTCACATATCCCTGCCCAACCGCTGGGGCTCTCAGCGGCCCAGAAAAATGACCTTAATCTTGCCGTGGCCGCCCGCGTTGCCTTCGCTGGATTCCTTCGGGTCGGGGAATTTACATACTCAGCTGCCGACCTTAGAAACACTCAAGTCTTCGCTGCTACTAAGTTAACCCGGGCGGATATCAGGTTCTCCCCCACCATGGACCACGTCCTCCTTACCTTGAAGAGAAGCAAGACCGACCGAAACCACGAAGGTGTCAATGTTGTCCTTGCAGCAACAAACGACGCAGCCTGCCCCGTCGAAGGCCTTTCTAAGCTATTCCTCCACGACTCACAGCCTATGTCTGCCCCCTTGTTTACGCTCTCCTCTGGCCCCTTCACCTCATCCGCCTTCCAACGTGCGGTTATCTCTAAGCTCAACCGCGCCGGGGAAGATACCACGGGACTTAAGGGTCACAGTTTCAGAAAGGGGGCAGCACAACACGCCCACAACGCAGGCTTAAGAAATGACCACATCCAAGCCCTCGGGAGATGGTCATCCGAAGCCTTCCGCCTTTACTTCACAACACCTACGACAACACTGTACGCCTGGAACCGTCAATTCCAGACCGGTTATCCAACTCCGGTCTCATCTTCCATACCACCAGCCCCTCCACCATCCTCTTTTGGCCCACCGGGTCATTTGGGCCCGCCTGCAGCCCTCACGGCGCTGTAGCCCTCCGTCAACGAGGCCTACATCGCCAGTGTTCAGACCGCAGGTGCCCCGTGCGAGCCAAAATATCTCATCCGTCTCCATTTGTGCCAGTGTAGCAATGGTTAGAATAGAATAAAAATAAAAAGGGGAAAGCGGAAAGGGGAAAGCGGAAAGGGGAAAGCGGAAAGGGGAAAGCGGAAATGATCGACGAGGTCGCAAAATCAAACTTATCGTGAATATTGGAATGAATTCTCCGATG